CAGGCTTGCAAAGATGTACCCACAGCTACCAAATTATGCAGGAAATATACCATGATTCCGTGGGCGCAGTTTGGTATTTAAGCAAGGTGGGAGAAGAGGATGCAGGGGAGGTATTTAATCTACCACACCTACAGTGTGCAGTGCTATTCATATAACAAAAAATCACACCACCGTATACAGAACAGCATGACAACATTTGCTAACATCTGTACCCCCCACCCCCCGATGCACATTGCAGGCTATCAGAAAGGGGGAAACCTCATACTGGATGCAAGGAGAGGGTGGAGAAAGAAAATCACTTGTCATTTTAGCCCACTGATTTATCAGTCAGATGGCCTCCGAGACTGTAGATGGCAAGAAGCCTTCTGCGATCACCTGTGACAAGTCTGTGTACTCCCAGCTGCATTTATTATTTCCTAGAACATAGGCAGATGCCAAACATAATTTAGGAAAAGGAAGCACCTCTGTTTCACCAGAACTTCATTCATAGAACAATAAGCCACAGAGACTGAATTTACATAAAATATCTCACTCCATTTTATTTAAGATTCTTTTCTCCAGTTAGTAAAAGAAAGATGTGTCTCTTTTTATACATATGTACAAGTTCAGTTATAAAAATAGACAGCACATTCAAAGAGGAAAAAAAGGCTTGGCATTTTCTGATTCCCTCTAAACACTGTATATACACATGTGAATCTGAGCAGGGTGGGGTAAAATCTTCATGATGTTAACTTAAATATCCCCTCCCCACCCATTATTCCCTCCAAATCTGTTTTTTTTTTTAAATTAAAAAAAACAATTTTAACTGAACTTATTTCTGCTATTTTTCAGGTGTGCAATTAAAGCAGAGTCAACAGGAAGCACTTGCTCTACACTGTGGGACACCAGGCAAGGTGCGTGAGACTGAAAAATCCTTTGCTGCCTTAGCTAAGATCTTCACCTCGTAACCTGGTTCTCCCTTGAAGATGAAAATGCCCAGAAAGAAAATCCATTTAATGTAAATGTGAAGGCAGGAGAACTGCCTCCCTCCTTCATCTCAGTGCAATGCAGACAGAAAATATATATATATATATATATATATATATATATATATATATATATAATGCCAAAAGCAGATGGTTCTTGTGAATTCAGAATAGAATACCACAACAAAGAGTTGCACTTAATGGCGTTGCTGCTCTCTAACAACTTTCACTAGCTTCACAGAGCTTTGCTACAGTGCTGGATTCATCACAGTGGAGCAATCCAAACCTGCTGGGTGTGGACACTGCTGACAAATGAGTCTTGCTAAAGAAAAGGAACACAGTGAATGGATGGCTTGGAATGAAAGACGTCGTTCTAGCTGGGGACTGGATGGAACAGGGAAATGGAAGCATTCCCCAATGCGCATCCTTTGCGGTATGGCCAACAGTGGTAACTAAAACATGTTTTTAAAAAACTCTTCTATGGCACAATGAGATGAAAACCAGGGACAATTCCCCACTACTCCAATTTCTTCTTGTAATCGCACACAAAATGGCTTTGTAATCTAAAACATTGAAGAGTCCCACGTAAGCCAAATCCAAGAAATTGTACTGAAAACCCAATGCTATGAAAGTAAATGTATCTGAGCCTGGGTTTTGCAATGCTAATTGGCAATTTGAAACTTCCTTCTGCTCTGTGAGGCAGAGGCAGCAACATCATTCTCAAAAGCTCTAATCTGTCCTATTGTCGTTTAGCCAACCAAGCAGTACTCTAGTAGTTCAGAAGCATGATACTGACAAAAGCCCCTTTCTAGGACGCAGTGCAAAACTCCTCTCTCCTTTCCCCTAGAGTCTATTCTTCATTGCATCCACCATTCATACGCATTAGAACCACCAAGATGTTTGTCCACAGCTCCCTTAAAGAAAGGCGCACCGGCCAGAAGGCTCCTCTGAATCTGCGGGGCACCCCCCCCCCACGTTTAGTTGCTGATCTCCTTCTTATAAGAATGGAGTTGAATTCCGTATGAAACCTGAAAGACGAGGGGGGCAAAGGGCGCTGGTGTGAGTACAAATGAAGGGGGAGGAGATCTCGCAGCCAGTCTTATGTGGAAGCCGGATCCATTCCCTGCATGATTTGTAGGATGCCAGAAAGAAGCCTAATGGAAAAGTTAAGCTCAAGCATCCCAAGTCTCTGTCCCTCCTCATCCCAAATCTGCAAAGACAGCAAATGCGGGCTACACACGGAAGTGCACACAGAATACCTCTTGCCCCAGTAGTGCAGTTGTCTTCTCCTCAAGCCCACATGTGGGATGGAAACAAGGCATCATCTGTAAACCCTTTTGCTGGTAGGCGTGGGTGGGCTGCTTAGGAAGCCGCTATGGAGACACACAGGTTCCAGGGTTTCAGAATTACTATCGCCCACCTGAAGTGTGGGCTCCTTTGTATTGTTTTCGGATTGAGGTTTCTGGTGCCAAGGAACCTGTCAGGTTTAAGGGTTTGGAGGTTCCACAAACGCTGTTTCCTTTACTCAAGGGGGAAGTGGCGCTTGACTGTCCAAAGTCTGAAAGTCCAGCAGGTCGGATGAGCGGAGTCTGAAGAGGGCTGCCTGAAGACATACCTAGCGACAAAAAGCAAAATTCTTCCTCAATGGGCCACACCCAGACTATAGCTTTTTAACTGCATACAAAATTAAAACTGCAGGATTAAGATTAACCAAGAGCTTTACTGACAACTTTAGCCAAGAAATTTTTTTAAAGTATCTTGGCCTTTTACCCCAAGGATACCCAAGGCAGTGAGTATCAAAATCCGAGGCCATTCATTAGAGTGGATAGAAAGCTGTCAAAGAAAAGGAAAACATTCTATTTTTTGTACGAGTATTTAGTACCGAGGTTTAATCTGAACAATCATAATTTGATTTTGTGATAAAGAGACTTATTAGGCTAATTAGTCCCCAGAAAGCGAGTGAACCTTTTAATTACGTATAAACATACTGATAGGAGCAAAAATGTGGACTTGAGCTGACAACAGATAACTGCTTATCTTTCAGGGACTAGAAATGAATTTTTATACCATCATATGCACTGGAACTTCAACATGCCTGGATTTCAAGTGGAGACTTAGATATCCTACAGATTCCTTAAGGATGGCTGAAGGCCTGATGTTAAAGCATAAAGGGTGTTCAACGCCCCACACAGCCTCCTACCTTTAGACACGTTGTACCCATACGCTGCGTATGCGGCTGCTGAGGCGGCTGCTGCTCCTGCTTTGGCACCTGCCATGGCAGCTGCACTTCCGGCTGTGGATTTCCGGCTCCGGCCTTTCCCTGTGCTTTTTGACCCGCCATTTGCACCTTTGGGACGGCCTCGGCTTCTACCTGAATGACCTCGTCCTGTGATGGGCATATCCTGTATTGAAATTCCTTAACAAAACCAATGACGAAAGAACATTTAGTGATGTGTAACAAATAGTGACTGTATAATTAAATATACCCCCTACTTTTGTAAATTTTGATATCTCTATGGTAGTTTTTGCCATGGACACCCTGGATGGGTTACACGGACATCCTGGGGTTCACAGACGACCAATTGGGAACCAGTGTTCTAAACTGTAAAGCTGATGGCCTGATCCCATAAACCAGTAACATTAGTCAGCTTTGTGGAACTACAGCAACTCCACCCATTACCTGGAACTTGCACTGCTGATAGCTACCGTATTTACTCGAGTCTAGTACACCATCGAATCTAATGCGCACCTCAATTTTCAGAACCTTGAAAGCAAAAAAAGTATTTGCTGGCAAATGTAAATGTGCCATTGAATCTAATGAGCACCTTAATTTTCACAATGTTATTTGGCCAAAAAAAGGTGAGCATTAGATTCGGGTAAATACGGTAATTAATAGAGCCCCCATCCACTTAAATTTACGGCCGAGTTGAGATTTGAAACAGGAGCCAACTTCATACTTTTGTCCTTACTCCAACTTATGAAGCTTATTTAGAATCAAAAGAATTAAGCGGTGAATGATCAAGCACATCAGATTTCACCTGAGCTAACAAATCTGAAGGAGACATTATTTGCTAGATTAACTCCAGTCCTGCCCATAAGCAAATCCAGTGCTCAGAAGCACAGCCATATACAGAGTTCACATTATGCTCCTTGTGCGCCATGTTTAAAGACAAATACTAACCATTCATGTTGTCAGACACTGAGCCCGTGATGGAAGCAGGGGAGTTAGTAGCTCTTGACTGAGGTGCTGAAGATGCTGGATCATCCACAATCACCAGCATGTCATTGCTGCTCTCGTCAGGTGGGATGGATTCCATGTGCAACTCACTGTTGATGGAAATCTAGATCATATAAAAATAAAAGTCCGTAAGTTTACATTACATCCTGTTATCATGTTAAGCTATGCTTTTGGATTAAGCCTGCATGCTGAAATCAGTGTGCTATAGAAATAATGCAAGACTATAAAAACTGCTAGAAGCCTTGGAGAATGAAAGGGTCCTACTTTGTCTTCTACAGAATGTGTTGCTGCCTCCCTCACCTATCACAAATGGGACCCATCACCAAGAAGAACTTCTTTCCACCTGCCATTCACCTATTCTTATTGAGTGTGGGCACTCTGAAGCAGCCCTATGATGGGGATCCTAAATTCTGAGTTGGCTCAAACGGGACAACTTTTAGGGACCATGGTCCCAAGTTATTTCAAGTTAAAGCCAGAACTTTGAACTGAGCCTGGAAATGTACGAGAAGTCAGTGCAAGATACTTTAAAATAGATATCAGATATATGGTCAGAATGGCAAACGGCAATCTGATGTCTGCCGTGCCCATATATTCAAAGCTAACCTGGAAGTTTCTAAAGATTGTACAAAAGTGTTGTACAGCTATCTCCATCCACAGCTGGTGTACACTGCGATAATCTCACTGCCATGTATGAAGCAGCCCAATGGTGTCGGTAAAGAAATTCCTACCTCACTGAAAGGGCTGGGCATGGCAGAGTCGACACTAACAAATGACTCATCCCCGTCAGCTGAGAGGTTGGAATTATCTGCAGATGGAACAAACGGGATCACCAGATTCATGCCTTCTTTCCTTTTCCTCCCGTCTAACTCGTCTTCCTTCTTCTTCTGAAATCAAATTAAGGAAACAACCATCAAAAGGGCTGGAAAACATGGAAAAGAGGCTAAAAGCAGGCCCTTTACTGAACTATGCAATGCAGTTCCCCAACCAAAAAAATTAACAAAAATGTGTGTTTTAGTCGGAAGTGTGCATAAAAATGCATATATTAGTGAAAATAACATGCAAAATGCATTATATTAGGAACAACTGTTTGCAAAAATGTGCATATTAGAACTGTATAATAATGAAAATTTATGTTATCTACCAGTAACAAAACTGTTTGAGGATAACAGCAACATTTTCAATGCCAGATTAGAAACATTGCTATCCAAAGGTTCTGTATTCTCCAGTATTATTATTTCAGGAAAATTCATTTCAGACAGCAAAAGTTATATTTATTGAGAATTTTCATTCTCTTCAGAAGTGAACTACAATCAAATTAGAATGACTAGATTCCCACTTTAAATCTGAATTAAACCCTATATGTGGAAAAGCAAATACAAAGCAAAAGACAGAAGAACAACATTCTTAAAAGCAGAGACACATCCACTGGAGAATTTGCATCACTTGCTCTCCCAGGAAGATTGAACCTCCTTGATCAGGAAAGCACTAAAATTAACCTGAGTGGGACAGGTGGCCTTACTGCTCCTGAAGGTAATAATAATAAAAACATTTAAAGCAATAATGTAACAAAATAACAGGAGTGTTATTTGAAGTACCTTTTCAGCATATTTTTCCCTCTTTCGTTTACGCTCTTTCACACGATTTGTCTCCTCCTGCTGCCGCTTCTCCTCCTGACGCTGGCGCACTACCAGTTAAAAAATAAAGTCAGAAACCATTATTTACCAGAAGAACTGCAAAATTCTTGCAAAACACAAGAGCCCAGTTGAACGCAATTGGAATAAGGCCTGTGTTGGTCCTTTAACCCCAACAATGTAACTTCATCCATTCTCATGGTTCCATTCTCCGTTCCCTCAAAAAAGTCTGACTATCAGACCCAAATCCAAGAATAGTATCCAACAAAGTAGTTCCATTAGCACAACTATTTCTGATTGTACAATGGAACTTCCCCTTCCACTCATCTTCCTTGGACACACCATGTCCTCCCCAAATCTGCTTCAGAGTTGGAGGAACACTCTCTGGAACAGTTAAAAAGAGAAGCCAGCATTTCTGCTTTTAAATAGGAGCGTGATTGTGAGATTCTTAAGCTTTTAGTTTTGTAAAACAGCACTCTGAAGCAAAATTGGAGTCAAATGTCTCAACTGCCTTTAATCTTGATACTGAATGCATCTATTTAAGGGTGGATCCAGATAAAATAGTTGTGCTTAGCTCCCACTGAAATAAATGGGAAACGATCAAGACATGACTTTCTGTTTGCACTTATTTCAATGGGACATAAGCACTTAGCTTCTTCATCTACCTCATTTTATAGTTATTGATACAAATAAATTAGCAAACAAAACACAGGCACACAGTGGGAGCTGGTGAAGTATATGGCAGAGGTAGGAGTATGGACTCACACATACATTTTTTCTCAAGTTCTTCATCATCCAGAAGAAGACTAACCACCTCCTTGGGTTTCAAGGTGTCGGGTTTGAAATTGCCTCCTGAAATCACCATCCTTTGAATCTATGGAAAAGAAAGAATGCATCAGAAATTTTCTTCTCAGATTATTTAATGCCAGAGACAATCAAGAGAAAGTGGAGGCACTTTATCTAATATCTATTAGATTGAATGTGGGAGAAATATTATATATTTTAAGTCTGAACTTTGAAAGTTGTTTAAAAATGGCAATGTTATTTTGTAATTCTAATCCCAAGAGGCACTCCATGGCACAAGAATGTATGTGTGCACCCTAAAGTGGCAAGAACTTTGGTGCTATGTACAATTTACCCATTACTGCCGAGTGCTACACTTCATTACAGGCATATAAAGGTAATCATTTCCCATTAGGTGGTATTATCTTTCCCGGAGATTAATGTCTGATTTCTCATCAATCACAGCTCAATTTCCTTGCTATCCCTTCTACACCACATTATTCCATATTTTGTTACCCTTACCTCACTTTTCTCCTTGGCCCTCTGCAAGATGCGTTCCTCTATGGTGCCTTTACAAATCAACCGGTACACAGTGACCTGTTTGGTCTGACCCAGCCTGTGAGCTCGATCCATGGCCTGCTGATCTACTGTTGGATTCCAATCACTATCGTAGAAAATTACCTGTCAGGGCATTTTTTTGAGGGGAAAAGGTTACAAATACAAAACTGATTCTATGGTCACAACCCAAAGTTGGTACTGCACTTTAAAATGATAGTAAACAGCTTTGCCTTCAGAATGATAACATCTTAGTGATTTTTTGGGGGTCAACCCAGATACAAGACCAGTTCTGTATAAGACCATAATTATTTAAAGGCTGCTTTACACATTACTATTACTAACATGGAGATCAACTTCATGCAGCAAAACGCATGTGCACAATTCACATCTGAAATGGGGTGCAAATTATTTGTTTTTCCAGGTTTAGATTACTGGCCAGTCATAACACTTCATGAATTATGTGGGGTTGTTTTCTTTTCTTTTGCTACACTATAATTGTCTTCATACTGGAAAAAACACAATGCAAGAAGCAGCCATCGTATTCAGATTTAGGAAAGCAAAGGTAGTGAAACTTTATATTATATCAAATAATTCTGTACTACCAGGAATATCCAAGCTCTGTTAATTAATCAGACTATAGTAGCTTTATGCTTTTTTGACATATCAAATATCCTGTTTTAGTGCTTCTTCCTTTCTGCTGAGTACAAACTATCCTGGAATAGCCCACAGTGTTAAGAAAACATTTTCAAACCAAGCTGTTTACTCACCGTATCAGCAGCTGTAAGGTTAATGCCTAAGCCACCAGCTCTTGTGCTTAACAGGAACACAAAGATATCATTCCTACAGAGAGAGATAGAAAGAACAAAAGCAACCATTGCAGTTGTGTTGCTACATAAACATTACTTACGACAATAATTACTATTACCAGGAGGGTTTTGATTTTTGCAATCAAAGACAGAATCACTTCACCCAACAGTTTATTATTATAATACTAGTGTATCTGCCTTGATTTCTAATATTGCTTTTACGCTACAGGACTTGTTGCACTCTGGAACTGTGGCTTTTTGATCTGGCTAAGTCTTTAATAATGGGAAATAAATCAATGCTGGAATACCACCACAAATTTCATCACATGAAATTACAACACAAAACTCCCATGATTTTTCAAGTTAATGGGGGTGGCAAATTAATTTTGTTTGTTTGTTTGAAACAACATGGAAACGAGCATCAAACTTTCATTAGATTCCACTAGATTTCCAGAAGTGGCTGTTTACAATGTGTAAAAGATAACAAAAACCACAGAAACTGCAAGGTTAGGAAATGTCAGGAAAAGGTACCATTGGTACTCACTTGAAATGTGTTTCTAAGGAAATGAAGAACCAACACAGCCCTAGTGTTTAAGTGAAATACTAAGGGTGATTCTTTGGACCCTCATGGGAGGAATTCATTGCAAGTGCCAGACGGAACAATCCATGTTCTCCTCCCCTTGTGTGCTGATCTAGGGGGTTCTCCCAACCCCACAAGATCCAATTTTGGGGGAATGAGGGGGTGAAGATTCATTGGGCAAGAAGCCCTTGGTTCAGCCTTCAGCTGCCAGAAGTAAGTAGTTGCATCCCACCCATAGTTTAGATGCTGAAGAACGACAGTGTAAGTACAGTTTGTCATAAGCTGGGATCCAATGGGTTGACTGTGCAGTTTCACTTACAAAGGTTACCTGGCTCTTCCTTTCCATCACCTCTTGGCCGATGTATAGCATAAGCATATTCCTACAAGAAGAATGGAGGGGTCCCAACACTAACCATATTCCATAGGAGGATGGAGGAGCCTGTGTACCTGGTGAGTACAGAACCCCGTCGCTATAATTCAGCAGAAAAAGCAAAGGGGAAAACATACCTGTTCTGAAAGTCAGCTACCATATCTCTTCTTTCAGAGATTTTTGAAGACCCATCTAACCGCATATATGTATGCTTCCTGTAAACCATGTACTCCTACAAGAAACCCAGAACAAAATCACAACATTTTTTATCTAGATTTTCAACAATTATAATTGTTTTGAACATCACAGTGCCATGCAATATTGTGCAAGCTTCCAATATGCCAGAAGGCTACTAATGTAATTTTAAAAGCAAAATAATCTGTTTGCACCATGCAGAGCTGCTAAAAACATACTAATCCTGAACCTGTTGAATTAAAACCTGATTATTAAAAAAAGACTGAGGTGCTCAGGAAGCCTGTGTCATGTAGGTACTTCATTGCTCACCATTCAGTTAATATTCATTTACTGGGCAAATTACCAAGCGATGTTCAGTCCTTTGTTCGCAACATGTACTTAACTATTTCTGACCTCCATGGCCATTGTTATAATCTAAAATCCATAAACAGTTTCAGGCCTCTTTAAGTTTTATTTGTATTTCAATGTGCTCAAAATTATATCCAAGACAGTAGATTTTTGTATTAATTCACAAGCTCATCTCACTCCTTTTACACATTATTCTGTACTTGAATTAATCTCTAAATTAAATTTGATTTTAATGTATGCATGTACTTTATTCTCTCTCTTTCTTACTTTCTCTCTCTCTCTCTCTCTCTCTCTCTCTCACACACACACATGAGCAACAGCAATGAAAGAAGCCTGAGGGGGACTAAGGAGTACAGGAGCACTTAGTTCTTTGAACCCTTCTAGGTTCAGAAGAATATATGCACATTCACTTGGTTTACAAAACATACAATCCACAAAGTTTAATATTTTTGGTGCTGAATTTATTTTCAAGAAGTGTATATAAAACTCTGACAACAGACTTGTTTCTGGGGGGAAAGTGCAATCAATAAACAAGCTTTGGTATAGCTCAAAGTCATAATGCTGTTATTGTTAACTGCAAATATCAGGGTTCATATCTCCACTCAGCCATCAAGCTCACTGTGTGATCTACAGCCACTCACAGTATCTCAGCCTAAGCAACTTTCATGGGGTTGTTGCACGAATAAAGAGGAAGGGGGAGAAACAGGTACACCACCTTAACTTCATTGATGGAAAGGTTTAATACAATTAAATATTTTTTTTAAAGGTTTCACTGGGATCAAAGGAGTTGGGTGACTCAGTGGTCTCATTTGAAGATAAAACCAAACCATGTTTGTTTAGCTAAACTGTAGCTTGTTTGCTGCACTGTATCCAGTACTGTAGTTCTTGTTTTTCACCATCCATAAAAATAGATCTTTGAAAACGAGGATAGCCTGCCAAGAGCAGACTGAGTAAGGGAATAGGTTTTGTGTTTTATATTGTTTAAATGAGGTATGATATAAATATTGACCATGCTAAAAGGTAAAGGACCCATGACAGTTAAGTCCAGTTGCAGACAACTCTGGGGTTGCAGTGCTCATCTCACTTTGCAGGCCGAGGGAGCCGGCGTTTGTCCGCAGACAGTTTTTCCAGGTCATATGGCCAGCATGACCAAGCCGCTTCTGAAACCAGAGCAGCGCATGGAAACGCTGTTTACCTTCCCGCCAGAGCAGTACCTATTTATCTACTTGCACTTTTTGGCGTGCTTTCAAACTGCTAGGTTGGCAGGAGCTGGGACCGAGCAACGGGAGCTCATCCCGTCGCGGGGATTCAAACCGCCGACCTTCTGATCAGCAAGCCCAAGAGGCTCAGTGGTTTAGACCACAGCGCTACCCACGTCTCTCCATTGAGCATTCTGTGTGAATGCAAAAGAACAGTAGTGTTCTTGCAGTCCATCTTTTTGAATTATTAAAAAATATACATGAAATATTAAGAATATTCTTTCAGGCCTTGTGCATGAAAAAATGTTGCAACCTCAAACAAAAAATAAGGATAAAAAACTCCTGTTCCTAATTAGAAATCAAAAAAGAAATATTGAACTGCAATCAATGCTTAGTTCCTGGCAGGATATTATGACCTCAGTAGAGTTCATCTCCCACCAGAGTGTATACTGGGCTTCCACTGAGGAAAGGGGTTGTATATTAGAATCTGTCTCAAATAGGTTAAGTATGTTTGCATGGATTAAGGAGGAAGAACTGAGCTAAGGCTTAATGAATTATGGTAGCTCTTCTTGCTAATATAGACCAAGACAGTTAGAATAATAAAACATAGTTATTTAATGACAACTACGGTATTTGGGATGTTAACAACAGCATAATAATTACAGTGGAAGATCCAAGAGTTTTTGCAAGAAAGTCTTTCAGATAGTTAACAGCACACAGGTTGTAGACTCTTTTTTATCTGTGTAGCTTTTTTAAAAGTAAAAAGGATACTGCTAATCCTAGAGGGACAGTTATATTAAAACCTCTTGAATATCCTCCCATTAAGCCTGCTCAGCTGACGCTGTCAGCATGACACTAGAAGTACTAATCCTTGAAAATAATGAAATCAGTCCTGGGTAGAGTGTGCTGGTTTACTGAGGCAACAGATAAAATAAGTAACTTCATCTCTTCCTTCCTTTGGTCCACTGCAAATGACAGGGACTTTACAACATTAGGAAAAAAATATACACCATCCAATAGTAATTATTCAAAACCAAGAGCAACCAAGCAATTGATTTAGAGCCTGGTCCAATAGTTCTACTGAACTATGATTCTGTAAGTGGTCCACTTGGTCAGTCTGAAAGTGACAGGGTTACGCTGGTGCAGCTAAGCATGTAGGACTTCACTTGGACAGCAACACAGAACGGCATGACTGCAATGGGCCAGATCTTACATAAGTTAGGGACAGAGAAGAGAGTGGGGGAAAGTATGCATCATTCTGTGTAAATCCTGGTCCAGCATGCTGCTGCGCTAGCGAAAGCATGCAATCCATGCAGCCTCTCCTTTCCTTAAAAGATTGTATTTATGTCAAATACTATATTTCCTTAGTCATTAGCTTCAGTTTCTCCTTCATGCAGGGTAAATGAATCCTACCTCCAACAAGTCAATCATCCGTGTCATCTGAGAGTAGATAAGGACTCTGTGTCCTTGAGATTTCAATCTTGTCAACAAAACATCAAGGGCATAAAGTTTTCCACTGTCTGTGATCAGACTCTCTTTGTCTAAAGGGAAGGAAGGGGGGAAATATTTATTTATTTATTTAACTTTCATACTGCCCTATACTCAGCCTCAGGGTGGTTCACAGGATAAAAATCACAATATAAAAACACAAATGACATAATCAAAATAAAAACGAGAACATCAAGAACAATGTGGGGGCATTACTTTTTGGGTGGGGGTGCAGCAGGGAGAAGGCTTATTTCTCCCTAAGTGCTATAGCCCCTAACGCAAAATGCCCCTGCATTACAATTAAGATCCAAAGGCCTGGGTGAATAAGAATGATTCTGCCTGGCACCTAAAAACAGGTAGTGATGATGCCGCCAGATGGTGATTGTAACCCACCATGAGATCTTATGGTGAAGGGTAGGCAAGAAATCAACCATCACATAGAGGAAACTCGTTCCACTACCACTTCCCAATAGAATGTATGAAATCAGAATGGATAAATTAGTTACTTAACAGTCTTTTAAGCTACTTAACAACAAGCGACCGAAGTTCACCAGGAACCAAATAACAGGAAAAAGAGTTTAAAGACAACAAAACGCAAGTATTTTTAATTCTTGTCTTTTTCTTTAATATCACATTTCACCTGCGCTAGTTAAATTATTTTTGAACTTTGAATAAATCCTGCCACCTAACGTTGAAAAGAATACCACAAATAAACAATATTTAACTTTTTCCATTTGACTGCACTCTGCTCCTTTACCATCTCTAGCGGAAATAAACAGAACAAAAGAATCATTTGTTAAATAACACCCAAGATCCGATTCTACTCTGAAGATAAGATTTTCACATTTGGTTCAATGGGTTGTATTGAATGGTATCACTCAGAATGGGGAAGGAAACAGTTTTTACTGATTCTCCCGCAGCTCCCCCTCCCCAATCTGCTCCAGAAGACGGGGGGGGGGGGCTTTTGAGCAGAATTTGGAGGATGCAGCCTTGCCTTCAGTTATACCATTGGATAAAATCTAACACACATAAAGGGTTAGATGGGAAAATCTGTCTATTTCTGGCGCAAAATTGTGCTGTCAGGTTATGAATCAAATGGGCCTCCTTTCATTTAAGAGAATTATTACTTTTAATCAGACTTATCTAGACTTGGCTGGGGAATGAGAAGATGCTATGATGTTACTGTCTGGGGAAGAAACATGTCTGGTCAAAATGACAGCTTAACAGAACCCCAATTATAGAGTCCCCTCTCCTTCGGAGCCTGACTTAATCTTAGTTCCCTCTAGGGCAGGGGTCAGCAACCCGCGGCTCCGGAGCCGCATGTGGCTCTTTTACACCTTTGCCGCGGCTCCGGGGCGGATACTAGCGAGGGGAGGAGGCGCATTGTGTGCCCTGACACTTCCCACTGTTTTAAATGTCGCAATGGTTTTGCGGCTCCCAGGTTTTTTTTCTTCGGTCCAAGTGGCTCTTTTTGTCTTAAAGGTTGCAGACCCCTGCTCTAGGGAATTAGAAAATGCACCTCTGCTGGTGTAAAAATAAGAGTAAGAAGGACTAAATCATAGTTTCCAGCCACTGCCTCCCTCCTCTAGAAGGCTGCAGGGCATAAAGGGGTCAGTGCAGAGCTAGCTAGCACTCACCAGTAAACAGCCAGCAAAGTTGGTGCTTTTTATCAATGCAAAAAGGACTCAGACACTTCCTGCCATTTAATCTAAGATCATTTCTCTTTCAAAGAACAGGAAAGGCCTCCAGAGATTCCCACAGTGATCGCAACTACAACAGTCTGAGAGAGGAGGGCAGAGTTAACTGAAGTAGCAGCTGTTTTGCTGTTCACTGCAACTTTGGAGCCTGAAACCCAACCTTGTATTGAATTGCTCCTTGAGTTTAATTCACTTGCTCAAACAAGCTTCATCTTATCTATTATTTACTGTATTTTTATCCTGTTTTTCAGACAATTATAATCTTGGCAAAGCAGCTCACATCAGTTAAAGAGAAAAGAGCGACAGGCCTTGGTGTTCTTACATTCCCATTAAAAAAACCCCAGTGAATAACTCTGGAAGTACTATAAATATTTCAACATATTCCACATTAATAAGGGTGTTAGGTAAGTTTTTGCTTGGACACCTCAGGTAAAGGTTGTAAAACAGGCAAACTTGCAATTAAAATGCATGAAGCTGACGGCTGCAAGATCAGAGGCCCAAAATTTATGTGACAATGAACTGATGGGTCAACGTACAAAGTACAGTCGTATCTTGGATCCTGAACGCCTTGCAAACCCGGAAGTGAGTATTCCGATTTGCGAACGTCTTTGGAAGTTGAACACCCAGAGTGGCTTATAATTGGGTGCAGGGAGCTCCTGCAGCCAATCGGAAGCCGCGTCTTGGTTGTCAAACATTTTTGGAAGTCAAACGGACTTCCAGAATGGATTCCGTTCAACAACCAAGGTACGACTGTAAATTTAGTTTTGTGAGCTGCCATACCAAAGAGGTTGAGAATCAATGGTTTGAACAACCTAGCTTTAATAACTGTTTTGAAGCTTATCATATACTTAATCAAAACAAAAAAAAATCCTTCCAGTACACCTTTAAAGACCCAACTAAGTTTAGTTCTTGGTATGAGCTTTCGTTGTGCATTGCACACTTCTCAGATACACAGTGTATCTGAAGAAGTGTATTCTGAGAAGTGTGCATTTGCACACGAAGCTCTACAAGAACTAACTTAGTTGTTCTTTAAAGGTCTACTGGAGATTTTGTTTTTTTTGGACTATGGCAGCCAACACGGCTACCTATCTTAACATATACTTAATGTGAACCACGTTGCTCCTCCTGTAAAGTACTGCTCAATATCTTTGTTTCATAGCCTCTCACTGTTTGACAGGAACCAGAAAAAGGGACAAGCGGGGGATATTATGGGAGTGGATGAAAAGGTAAAGGAAGAAGATCAGTTTGAAAATGCCAGACTAAACTAGTGAGTTGCGGATTTGGGTCCAGATACCCAGAATGCTGCAGAGACGAGAATCACAGAATCAGAGTTGAAAGGGACCCTGAGGGCTATCTAGTCCAACCCCCTGCCTATGTCAGCACAAGAAAGCTATCAAATAGGCTCAATTAGGTAACCACTGATCGTTCTCTCACACACCCAACTTTCCTACAAGTTTATTGCAGGAAGATTTCCCAAAAGGAAGTATGAATTATTTCCCAGTTTGTCATCATTTAATGCATGGATAGAACATACTAGCATACGTAGATAAGCAAAGTAATAGAATCCACTTTGTTATTAAACTATGCAGTTATAGAGCTATTGCCTACCTGGTATCCTGATGAAAGACCAGCCGTTTTGAGGTCTGACCCCTAATAATCCCCCTGGAAATTCCGGGAAGAACTGAGAGCACCGTTTTAGCCAGCCAGCTGCTAGTTCAGGCGCTCCATGCAATACACATTGCTTTGCTTCAAGGCTTCCTCCGTCTTTAAGTGCTCTGCGCTCATATTCTGCACTCTGATCATTGCAGTAGAAATCCCGTGGCACGGCTGTTACCTGTGGATTAAAAGGGTATAATTATACTGAAGAGATCATGAAAATATTGGCTGAGATTAAATATCAGTCATAAGTGAGGTTCCTTTAGCTATGTAGTACTGATTCAAAAACGGTTACAAAACTACTCGATCACTCTCATCTTTCAAGATGACTTGTAACAGTGGCAGATGTTGGCTTCAGTTTAACACTTCTGAAACCTTAGCACCCAATTAGACAGACAAAATTCAGAAGTTATGTGGTTCCTGCCTACACCTATTCAAATCTATCAAAGTTCAAAGGATATAGGAAAGGACTTGAGAAGGAAAAGGGGGAAAAGGATAGATGGCAAACCAAAGTGTAGTAAAGAAGGAGGAAACACAAGGCTTGATGAAGGAGAGGGAGATGACTTCATATCATATGCAACAGAAAAAGAGAATGGCATGGCATAAGGCTTGAGGCGAAGGTAGCTTTAAAATGCCAATCACTGTGCTCATCCTCTCTTTACTGGAGAACCCCACTGGGTATGCTTTGGTTGATCTGTACTTCTGGATCATCCTTTAACAATTATGTAACGGACCTGAGATTTTGATTTACTCTAGCCTGTTTATACAGTGAAACCACTGGTCAGAATCAATACAGCATGAATTTCACCGATTTAGCATGCAGGAACACACGTTATGTAAATGCTATCTGAACTGACTCAAAAATGCAATAGAATCAGAAAAAATGAATTAGCTGGTTTTGAAATTAAACTGCACTTTACTACGAAATAAATAAAAAAATAGTCCAGTAGCACCTTAAGAGACCAACTAAGTTTGGTCTTTACTACAGCAGCCTTCTATTTGTCTATTTTTAATAGCACAACAGACCAGACCAGTTCCTCAGGTACTTGACACTTGGCAAGAGACATGGTAATTATGGAATGCTCATTTAGTGTCAAGTGTGTCTTCTATCTGGCATCTCTGCAAGGCCTTCATACATCTCGTAGTGTCAGCCGTAAGATAAAAGCTGCCTATAAAAATCCTCTTTCCTATTCCTTTTGCAAAGAAGGAATGATCTCTTCTTGAAACTTGATTGCACTTGTGTCTCTGGGAATCAAATGCAGTGATTGTGAGGCTACTCTTCTACACTAGATGTGCAAATGGCATTGGACCTTTAAGCCATCTGAGTGTAGACATGTCGCGCAAGGCCCCTACATTAGCATCACAGTATGTGTGCTTGAACTGTAAAAGTCAGGTTTTTTTAAAGCAGCACTTTCTTAAACTCAATGCAATTCTGAACTATCCAAATGCAAAATTTCATTTCCGTATTTAGAACACTGAGGTCTTCAGTTTATCTTCCTTTGCATGTCACCTTCCCTACTGTCAGCTTCAATATAAATTACCCAGTCAAGCAGTGCTGCCAACACAGGAATCTAATCTTTATACCAAAGTAGCTATCTTGGACCATCTCCATCATTTTTAATCTTTGCTGCTATCTGGATGGAGTAGAATGTTAGCCAAACAGCTGTTTCTTCAATGGCTGAATAGCTGAATAGTCTCAAGATAAGGAGTCTGTTCCAGCAGACAAGGTTGCCTTTTGTAAAAAGCTATAGTACTCTCTTATCTCTCCTCAACAGGCTAAAATGCAAGTCCATGGTGCCATCCTGTACAGCAAGTACGTGCTCTCAAATACATTTTCACAGCTAAGCAGTGAAAGCCAAATCAACAACAAGGCAGATTCTAGACTCAGTGAGAAAGACAGGGACTGCTGTATAAGCCATAATCATAAGTTACAAACTCTGGTTATCCATCTGCACTGTAGCTGTTCCGGAACATCTGTCATCCAGAGAATTATTCAACAAAATGCAACGACAGTGAAAAAATTATCTTGCATATATGGCAGATTTTTTTGCCATCTACCTTTTCACATGCAGTCCCTTGCACTATCTTATCTGCTGGTTGGAGGGTCCATCAACCCTTTGCAGCAGATTTTCAAGGGACGTGGGGAGACTGACAAAAATACCACCCCCATGTTTCCACTGGTGGGAGCATTAATAGAACTCTGTTTATGGTATACTCCTGTCAGCTGAGTCTCAGTTAGGATCTAAGCCAATGTTCTTAACAGTAAAAGATAAAGAGAACTATTAGGTCTGTCATTTATCTCAACAAGCATGTTATCAAAGATATTGGGGTACTAAGAATAATTGATCACAGTTGTTCTTTTAGGACAAAAATAAATAAATTGTCCATCTAGATCTCAACTCCTCCTTTCTATGAAAAAGACAGACGCATCAAACTGTGATATCTTTAAAAGCAGAACTTATAAAAGAACATGTGAGGTGTGGGAGACAGGGTAAAAACTAGCCTAAGGCACATACACATAGCATCAAATCATGCATTGTACACAGTTTTGAAGGGAAATGGTGTGGCAAGATGTACAATGCAACATAGTTGAGACAATGAAAATCATCCGAAGTCACTTATGGAACACAAGGGTAGAGATTTGGGGGGGGGGGTTGCTTAGTTAAAACACACAGATTGACTCATGTTTGTATAGCAAGTGCGGGGAACAGTTGCCTCCCAGATGTTGCTGAACTACAACTCCTATGACCTTGGCCACTGCCCATGCTTGCTGATGGGAGTTATAGTTCAGCAAGTCTGCAGGGTCAAAGATTTCTCAGCCCTGTTGTAGAGGGACACAAATGCACACTGTGGAAAGGGGCAGCAATTTAAAAGGTAGCTTTTATCAAAGAAACGGAATGCAACTACAGTAACTTATTTTGGGGGAGTTAACTAACTAGTTGCCAGCTATGAAAAGCCACAGCAAAGCACTCAGCACTTTTTCCAGCAGGATATACAATACTGCACTGCCATCTTCAGACAAGAGATGGGAAATGAAAAGAGCAAGGTTACACTGAGTCAAGACCATCTTTCTCTGACTGACTCATTCACTAAAGAGGGGGGGGAATTATGTGCACTGCTTTACATGGAAATGTTTCCATCTCTTATTTTCCCTTCTATTACCCATTAGATACAACAGAAGCAAAGTATAAAATATCATGGCTGATACAGGGCTGCAAAACTTTCCTACAGGATAAAAGGCACCTCCTGTAACACAGACACAAGGAGGAGATTAGAAGCATGTTTCCAAATTTAAACTAACCAGAGTTCCTAATTACATCAGAATTTGGGGAGACTATTAGTTTGAAATTCTGGTTTGTTCAAACAAGCCAGGATTAAGCCATGGTTTATTATCCTGGCTCATTCAGATGTTAAAGGAACTTTGGTTAGCACATCTGCTAACCAAGTTCTGATCTTCTTGCAGCCATGCCAGAATACTAGAAGGGAAGGTCTTTTATTTGTGTGCATGTAACACAAAACTAGGGACACGGGTGGCACTGTGGTCTAAACCACTGAGCCTCTTGGGCTTGCCGATCAGATGGGGTGAGCTCCCGCTGCTCGGTCCCAGCTCCTGCCAACCTAGCAGTTCGAAAGCACCCCAAAAAAGTGCAAGTTCCGGCGGGAAGGTAAACGGCGTTTCCATGTGCTGCTCTGGTTTCAGAAGCGGCTTGGTCATGCTGGCCATATGACCTGGAAAAACGGCGGCTCCCTTGGCCTGTAAAGCGAGATGAGCACCGCAACCCCAGAGCCGTCCGTGACTGGACTTAACTGTCAGGGGTCCTTTACCTTTACCACAAAACTATTTCAGAATTGGGCTAACGACATACTGTATATCCCAGGATCATGAGGATAGTAAAATAAGTCATTTTGTATAGAGAACTCTCATGGTATTATTGAAGAATCATTAAAGAGATCATGGGAAGCATATAAAAACTTAGAGCCTAATTTTATATTGCGGCAGGAGTTAGGATCATATTTTGCACTTCCAGATTTGCAGCCATCGATGATACTAATCAGTGCTGTAGAAAAACTGCTGACAGTAGTTCCTAAACTCCCCCCTCCATCGGAAAGGAATTTGCAGACCAGGTTGAGAACCTTTGCTACAATTAATGCTCAATAGGCTAAATCTTTTGAATGCTTTGAATTATGGTGCTGGAGGAGACTCTTGAGAGTCCCATGGACTGCAAGAAGATCAAACGTATCCATTCTGAAGGAAATCAGCCCTGAGTGCTCACTGGAAGGACAGATCCTGAAGCTGAGGCTCCAATACTTTGGCCACCTCATGAGAAGACTCGACTCCCTGGAAAAGACCCTGATGTTGGGAAAGATGGAGGGCACAAGGAGAAGGGGACGACAGAGGACGAGATGGTTGGACAGTGTTCTCGAAGCTACAAACATGAGCCTGACCAAACTGCGGGAAGCAGTGGAAGACAGGAGTGCCTGGCATGCTCTGGTCCATGGGGTCACGAAGAGTCAGACACGACTAAACGATTAAACAATAAAAACAAGGCTAAATCTTGGAAGGCATGTGGTGAAGAGTTCAGTAAGGTGGTTCTTATATTTCATTCCTCATATGTCAGCATGAAGGTAGCCATATCTTATTCAGACAATGCACAAATATGTGTTATTACTAAAACAAGTACAGATCAGGAATGGAATGGAACATTTGGGAGGCTTTTGTGATAAGGGTTTTATGCTCCTTGCCTGCTTTTATATGATTATTGCTTCACCATACGCTGCAGTATTTATTGCTCTGCTCTTGCTTTCAAATAATTAGTAGACATTATGCTGAGGAGTGTAAGTTAAGGTCAACCAGATGTCTTCACTGGTGGCAGGTATCTCACTAGACAATCCTCAAACACATTCAGGGTGGGGAGGGTTTTCTGGTAGCAGATGGTTAACTGTATTTCTGGAGTCACATCTAGTTTATTATGGCCTTTCGTATTATGTTAACAAACAGTGCTTGCAAGAAGCCAAACACTCTCCAAGTTTATTGACTTATAAAAATTAAAGTGAATATGCAAGACATGCTCCCCTCCGCCATTTTATTAGGATGTGATCCCTCCCCACCAAAATAATAATTTATATTTCATGGAGTTTGTATGAAGTGCTGAGCACTAGAAATCTGGTATCCTGAAGGGCCAATTTTGCAGCAACAAGTCATTTCCTCTGCAATCCTGTATAAGCTAAATTCCTATGGACTATTAAATACGTTTGAGTTTCTCAGTAGCTTACTGCCTAAGAAATGTAAACACAGGTCAACAGTTCAGTAACTGAGTTACCTTTAAAAACAAAAGCAGGGAGGGAGAGGGGTCGGACATCAGGAAAGGCTAGCAGGGTCTAAGACAGGATCTCTGCCTCAGTGTTGAGCAGCTGTCACAATACTGTGCTCATTACTTTATTTTATTTACCACAGCTCAATAAACATTGGCTCACCTGGGGAGGGGGGAGGTCTCAATTGCTACTGAAGCCCTGTGAAGAATGTTACTGTTGATGGGAAAGGATTTCATCTGCCCATTTTGCATTGTCAGTCTATATGCTTAGGCTTGACCAGTGCAACCTGTACATTACAAAATTTCAGTGTACAGATTGCATGGATCAGCCATACAAACATGATGCCCAACATATACACATCAGGCAAGGCAGATATAATCCCATTCTCTTCATCAAATGTGGTATTTCCAGTGGACTTGAGTTCCTACAGTTAAGCAAAACTAGAATCGATGTTAATGAAATACAAATACAATAAGACACAAACTAAGTGCTCTCTGGAAATATCTGAGAACTGGAAAACGTAATCAGAAGAGGGTAGAAAGGACTTCTTTTTTAAAAGACTTACCCTTGGGCTCACTACAGACAGGAAGGACGGCAGCTCTGTGATTTGACAACACTGTTTCCATGAGGTAGCTGATCGTTGATGGATGATGTAATCAGAGTAGCCAATTACTGCTTTACAGTGGCCCGTGAACACAAGGTTCTAAAAATTGATGAAATTAAAAATGTTTTGCGAAGTTTTTGAAGAGTTTTTTTCATAGCAGTTGTATCCTAATATCATAAAGGATACAAATGAACAATTCCCAAATATTTAATTTGAAATATGGACTTTTTTTTTCTGAGAAGACATTCTGAGGCCACTACCACCACTGCTTAATTTTTTCTTCAGCTTTTACAACTAATGAACAACTACATTGGGCAGAATTACAACATGCAATACTACCAAGGAATGATTTCTACTAGAAAAGAGATCAGTTTACATATCCTGTTCTCAGCGTTTAGTTCTGAAAGTTCTAATCCTTAGCCAAAGTACTAGGTACTAGGAGAAATATTTTTTGTGTATACAAGCAAGACTCAACTAACACTGGGGTTAGGTTCTGGGGACAGCACCTAAAGCCAAAATCGCATATAGTTGCGTTTGATGGCGCAAAGCTTTCCCCCCCGGATGTCCACCCCCTTTTTAATTTTTGCTAAGTGTGTAAAGTGGATTGCATACAAGTTAAATGCATGTAAGTTGCGAGTTACCTGCATACCTCATTTTGCGGCTGGGATCCGTTCCGGAGCTCCAGACACTAGCCGGAAAGGACACAGGGTAAAGTGCCACGTCTGTGCATGAGCGCGGATTGGTTTGTGCTTCTGTGCATGCACGAACGTGATTTAGTGCTCCTGTGCATGTGTGAGCGGCAAACCTGGAAGTAACCCATTCCGGTACTTCCAGGTTTGCCACAGACGTTCGCCGGAATGGATGCTAGATGAGGCGGACGTTCGCGTAGGTGTTACTGTATACACACATGTAAAACACAGACACTAAGTCCTTGTAGCTCCCATGCAATCTGGTTTTCATATGATTGCCCATGGGAATATGTAAGATCGCCAGTGGTTGTGAGCAAGTAAGACGAGCCTGCTGAATCAGGTCAACGGTCCTCTAGTCCAGAAGCTGACTAGACGCCTTTTGTAGTCCTGCAAGCTACAATCCAGCTACAAGCACAACTGCACTCTGCCCACCTATATTCAGAGGCATAATGCCTGCAGGGCGCATATGGAAGTAACAGTTGCATAAACTGCTTCTATGCAAAGATATATTTGTAAAAGTTTTCTAAAACTGCAATGACCAACTCTTTGTATTTAAGGTTCTCTCACTCATCCTGGTCAAGCTAACAGTACCTGAAGAACACTGGAAACCTGTTCAAGTTCCCTTTATGCATTATTTACTCTAGTCACTAAATTTAGACGAAAAATAAGTCACACAATGTCCTCCTTGTAATGTAATGCTAAACCTTGGGCTCACACTCTCCCCAAGTCTTTGGTGGACTCATGAGGAGAAATAAGCTTTTGTTTCTGCTTAAGATTAACTGCAGTTTGTCATGTCATTCCAACTCAGACAAACTGCAGTCCATCTTAACTACAGTTAAGTTGAAACAGGCCCATTTTGAACCATAACTTTTGAAGCTGGCTTGCTTCAACTAACCACAGTTAATATCAACCAAAGTTTAGGGTTTGGTTAGAAGAATAAACTGCAGTTAACATAAAACAGAAGCTTTAGATCTCCTTCTTGCAGTCCCTCACTAGAGGGGGAGAAAGAAGGGAAGAGCACATAAGTCCGAGGTGCACTGTAGTAATATTAAACCCCCGTTTAGCACTGCATTTGAATGCAGCCACTAACTATTGCTAATCTTTGTTGTAAAAGGAGCACCAGTCAGTAGTTTAAACGATTCAAACACTATGTACATAGAATAATGATCTTCCAAAGATGTGTTATACGAACCTAACAAAACAGGGACTAAACGGTCTGGTGGGCTACTAGAACTTGAGACACAGACATTTTACAAACGGTTGGTCCAGAAAGATACACTTCAAAAGCCAAAATGTTTGCTTCTAGCTTGGTTTTGACCCCTTCTCTTCACAAGCTCTACCATGCAAAAAACTATACAGGCTTTAGGGATTACAATTGCCAGATCCTGCAAAAGTGGGACTGTTAGTGATCCCTTTTCTACCATTAAATGCTGTAGCAAGAAGGTAGTCATTACAGCATATGACATAGGGATATCATTTCCAACCTGTGACATAAAGTTAGTTATTACCCCTTTCTTTAACAGTCTGAGATGACATTTATTATTCGCTTTAAAGAGACTGTGGGTGGGGGCAGTTACAGCACAACCTTTTCCCCTAACTGGATGAACAGAAAGCATAGATCATCTTCTATCTGCATATGCTAATTGAGCATCCCTACATTACAGGTTTCTATTATTCTTTTTATGCAAGGTCTTTCTGCCCCTAATGCAAAGCTGGCATGGGGATAAATTCAAATTCATTCAAAACCAAAACATTTGAACAAAAGGATTGCCTGGTGCAGAATCTTATTTTATTGTAATGCCAAATGGTTAACACAGGTTATGTGTGGGTGGGCTGGAAATGCTTTTCCAGCTTAAAAATATTTTTAGATACTTAATACTATTATTTGCTGCTGCAGGTTTAACACTGATGCGTCTTACCACTTTCAATGGTTCTAATTTTTCCACACAGAGAAGCTTCAATATTGGGTAGAATGTAAATAATGTGATTAAGTAACTAAATAGCATAGAGTATACACAACCCTGACCACATTATTCCACTCCAAGATCTATCTATCTATCTATCTATCTATCTATCTATCTATCTATCTATCTATCTTCTTTCTTTCTTTCTTTCTTTCCAATTTCATTTAACTCAAGCAGTTTGACTTGCATACAGCTGAAAGGATTGCTTACCTGCAGCAAAGTGCAGCTGTGCAAGTTGGGGGAGGAGAGTGGGAAATTGACATCCAGCAGGAAATCTTTATTCTTCAGAAGCCGAGTCTTATGCTGGTCATCTTCTTCTGGTTCCCTCCAGAAACGAAAGTGGTGGAGCCTGTAGGCGGCTTTCAGAGACAGGAAAAGAGCTAACCATCTGAAAGAAATCACAGTAGACACTCTTATTCATACCTCTGAGAACAAGGACTTAAATACAGGCATACCTCATTTTTTTGTGTCTCAGATATTGCTCCTTGCGAGGACGCAGGTCCAGCTGCAGGCAGCCCGGCTGCTTCCAGGGAAGGGAAGCTCACCACCACCCTTCTTCTGGCCATGGAAGTGGAGCTGGTTAGGGCTGGAGATGGGTTTGTCCCCTTCCCCCTTGCAGCAAGGGAGCCCCTGGCTTAACCAACTACAGTACAGTGTACACATCGATTTTATCTATGAGATTGCTTCCCTTGTTGTTGTTATCACTATGACCATTTTTAATGCCCAATTATAGGTTTTGTAATTGTCCAGTATTCCAGCATGGAACATATATAATTATCAGCTGTAAACATTTTGCTATGACAGATACATGCACCCATTTTTCCAGCCTATTTATATGCAAGTGATTTTTGAAATAAACACACACAGCGTCCCCCCCCCCCGGGTCATTGTTTTAAGATTCAACAGAATTGCTCACCTGGCTAGATGTCCCTGATGCATGAGGTTAGCAATCTCTGCTGGAGAAACATCAATAAACCGTAGGAAAGAGAAACAACTCTCTTCTTCAGCACCTATAAAAATGACATGGCTGAGAATAAGCATCTGCTACAGGAAACAAGAGACATAATACAGTGCTGAAAAATGCAGATTCCATCTACTTAGTACTGAGCTACAAAAGATAGTTGATAATAAGAATTAAAAGTACCATTATACTGGGTGCTAATATGTTCTAATTTGAAGTATAGTCGTACCTTGGATCCCAAACGCCTTGCGAGTCGAACGTTTTGGCTCCCAAATGCCGCAAACTCTGAAGTGAGTGTTCTGGTTTGTGAACGTTCTTTGAAACCCTAACGTCTGACACGACTTCCACTTGGCTGCAGGAGGTTCCTGCAGCCAACTGGAAGCTGCGCCTTGGTTTCCAAATGTTTTGAAGTGAAACAGACTTCCGGAACGGATTCCGTTCAACTTCCGAGGTACCACTGTACTATGTTTAGTTCTGAACAGACTAGGGAAGTAATAGTGCCACTGTATTCTGCTCTGGTCAGACCTCACCTGGAGTACTGTGTCCAGTTCTGGGCACCACAGTTCAAGAAGGACACTGACAAACTGGAACGTGTCCAGAGGAGGGCAACCAAAATGGTCAAAGGCCTGGAAACGATGCCTTATGAGGAACGGCTAAGGGAGCTGGGCATGTTTAGCCTGGAGAAGAGGAGGTTAAGAGGTGATATGATAGCCATGTTCAAATATATAAAAGGATGTCATATAGAGGAGGAAGGTTGTTTTCTGCTGCTCCAGAGAAGCGGACATGGAGCAATGGATCCAAACTACAAGAAAGAAGATTCCACCTAAATATTAGGAAGAACTTCCTGACAGTAAGAGCTGTTCGACAGTGGAATTTGCTGCCAAGGAGTGTGCTGGAGTCTCCTTCTTTGGAGGTCTTTAAGCAGAGGCTTGACAACCATATGTCAGGAGTGCTCTGATGGTGTTTCCTGCTTAGCAGGGGGTTGGACTCGATGGCCCTTGTGGTCTACTCCAACTCTATGATTCTATGATTCTAGTTTAAGATCAATCTCGTTAAATGAGAATAAGTAAAAAAACAGAGCTCTGAAAAATGAAGTATTTGCAAGATAAACCAATAGATGGAAAATCTCTTATGAAACAATGGGGGAAGCAGTGATGGCATACACCAATAGATTTAAGAAGACTGCAGGGGGTCAGACTAGAAGCCCCTTGAGGGCTCTACAATTGCTCTACAATTCTAAGGTGAGTTCTAAGGTGAACGATTGTTCATTTATTGAGGAGAGGGTGATAAAGATTTCATCTACAGAAAGGAAATTTGGGTTAAGCATTAAGAACACCAAAGTGTAAAACAGTTCAGGAACGGAATAATCAATCTAGAAGGCACTGCTTTCCTTGGAACTTCAATTAAAATAAAAATTCTAATCCTAATGCCAATAAAATGTCTTCCTTCACATAATGAAATAAGCTAACTTCACCCTTATGTTTTTCAACCTACCTCTCCTATGGAAGAGAGACTGCTGGATGTGGTCTGGAGCAAAAGGAGAAAGTAAAAACTGCAACCACCTATAAATTGACAGAAGAATAAAAATGGGACAATTTAAACATATATTAATTAACTCCTGTTCAAAGTTTTGTTTCTTTTGTATGCTACCCTTCCTCTAAGGAGCTCAGAACATTGTTTTTGCCTAACAATGCTGTGAGAGAGATTAAGCTTCTATTCAGTCACAACAGCTAAAATCCATGAGTTCTCAATTGTTTTCTCTAGGCTACAACCACTCCAGCAGGGAAGATCCCAAAATGGCTTCAAAAAGTACCAAGAAACCTCCTCCATGTTGCCCAGAGAAAGGACTTCCTTGTTTGTTTTGAAGCCATTTTTAGTCTTCCCTGGTGCATTTGTGACTTATTATTTCTCTACGTCCCATTAACCATAGCTGTGAGTGGCTGATTTTTCACAAAGCAATTGGTTAGACTGGTCCCTACATATTTTGCTTTGTAACTCTTGCTCTACAGGGTCTTCTGACTTGCTTTTTAAAAAGGAAACAAAAAATGAAAGGTTAGAATCTGGATCCCCTGCTGGCTCTGGGCCCAGTATAGCAGGTTCACCTATATCTTCCCTCTTGGCAGGTCTGCCAACATTGCTTACCTGTCCCGTGAGTGGTTAAACACCCTGATTTGCCCATGGCGGTAGAGAAACTTTGAAATCTGGTATGGCTTTACTGAAATGTGAAATGGAGACCAAGTTTCTTGTCGTTCAAAGAGTTCTGGGTGATTGCAGACCTATAAAGGAAATTTAAGTCGTCAGAAACTGCAGAGGGAAAACCTGTGTATTAATTCTTCATAATAGCTGGGGGAAACTTGGACAAATTGCGAAGCACGTCCTTAATAGGACTACTTGATTAAAAGTGGTTTGAACATCGTAATTTAAAAAGTTAATCATTTTAGGCTAGGCACATGTGAAATCTAGGCAATATAACTGTGTTCTCGATTGCCCATCCTGCTTTCTTTCCAAAGGATTCACTCTTCCCAGCACAAATTAATTTGTATTGTGTGAAATGGCTAGAACTCCAGCTGAGACCTATTAGCTGCAGCATACAGCCACAAATAAAGACTGACTGCAACTTGTTCAGTGTTGCACTTGAATGTAATGGAATGTAGGTATCTGGTCATTTTTGCTGAAGTGATCATCAGACAACCGTATCAGTGTGACCAGTGTTCACAAATCTCACCTTCCGGAACTGCATGACTAGATTCATGAGGCTACTGGTAGTGTTCTGTGCTTGCTGGGTTGTACCCATGGAGGACTGCAAAAGGTCATCAATAGAAATTTTGTTCTTCAAAGCCTGGTACAGTAATTTTTGCCGGCTGGTTTGCTGGCAATACATAAGGATCTCAATCTTAAAGAGAAAGAGAGAAAGAGATTGAAGCATATTAAACTGTTATTGAGAGAAGACAATAGCAGAGCTAGGTTCAACCCATACACAATCCATGAATGACTGTAGTGGATAGGGCACTCACAGCCAGCACAACCTGATTAAAATTAAAAGAAGGCCTTCCTTGATAAAAAAAATATTTTTAAAGAGTGCACAAGACATAGTGTCAAGATGGGGCTTGCTAGATTTCCCCTTGGAGGGAACAGCATGGATGAGGTGGCAGCTAATCTTTCAAAACTGAAATCCAGAAGTAGGGAAATGAAACAGAGAGGCAGGGAATGGAAACTAAGCCAACAAATGTTATTTGTGAGATATCATGATGCATTATAGTCAATGTTATGGAATAGGCATAATTTTGTGGACTGAAAAATGCTAACAGTAGCTGCATGACAGAGCATCAGACTAGATACTCTGGGTATGATAATGCAAAGTCTTCTTTGGACTTTTAAGTCTGATTTTGCAACATTTGATTGTTGCGTTGAAATGCTGCTCATTGCACATAAAAAGCAAAACCAAAATCCACTCCTACAATTACTACATTGACAATAAAAAACTAGGTTTCACTACTTTCATTTTCATTTCATCGCATCTCATAACTGCTAGCAGTGACCAGTTTATAAAACTGAAGTGATGCAGCTAAGGTCTTGGATCTGCGAATGAGCGCATTCTGATAATTGACAAAAAGGTTTGGATACACAAGCTGACAATGCAGCATCTGTTCATTAACTGACTTTGCTTTGTAAAGACTGTTCAGCTTTTAGGATTTTTATGGTCATATTTTATATTAATGTACAAGTTTTGAGAGAAGATGACAATACCATTTGACTGTGCTGGTAGAAGTTCAATAACTATTGGAAAGGGAGAAGCCTTTTGAATTCTGATTTAAGGGAGAACACGAAAACTGTAAAGCAAGATATAATTAAAGCCTTAAAAAAAGGAAACAACATGAGGGGAAACAGACTTTAATTCTGTTTGGCACCTTATCTGACAGCTCGTTTTCCACATCTTTTTTGATTCTCCTCAACATGAAAGGCTTCAGGATCATGTGCAAGCGAGAAAGCTGATCTGAAATTTGATGAGAAAGAAACAACAACCTATGATTAAAAACTTGTCCGTTTGCATTTCTTAGTACAGAAAATATTGATATGATGTGTGGAGATCTTTACTATTCTAATTCATTCAAGAGGGTTCTGGAAGCTTCTCTGTGTGAAAGAAACAAGCAAAAGGTTCATGATGTTTGGGCTATTCCTTCAGAGAAGCTGAGTACAGCTGGCTTAAACTGGTTGTGTTATCTTTTTTTGTCAAAGTCATGCTGACTATGATAATAGGCCAGAAGGAGCCTGGGCCTCTCCCTTTCTATCTCTTTCCTTCTGGTGTGCTGCTGCTCTGTACAAAGCATGCTTAATGTTAAGGTTTAGTCTTATTATAAGTTATTGTAAGTTTCAGTTAAGTCTACTGTAACTGGTCTTCTTATGGACAGCGCCAATCCTAAATGTATTGGATTTGTGACCATTATGCTCATTTGCCTTCAGTAGCAGTAAAGCTCTGCTGAATGAAATATTAAGTGCCTCTGGTCCATTTTTGGCGAATCCTGCAATGTGTTTAAGTTTTTAGTCTGCTAACTATACAGTTGTACCTTGGAAGTCAAACAGAATCCATTTAAGAAGTCCGTTTGACTTCCAAAACGTTCAAAAGCCAAATTGCGGCTTCTGATTGGCTGCATCAGAAGCCATGGAAGCCCTGTCGGACGTTTGGGATCCAAAAGAACATTCGCAAACCGGAACAATCACTTCCAGGTTTGCGGCATTTGGGAGCCAAAATGTCCGAGTTCCAGGGCGTTCAGGATCCAAGGTACGACTGTACATTAGAATTCTGCTCTGGATCGATACTGAGTCGAATTCATGAGTAAACTAGGTTCTACTATTTTGGTTGTCATTTAGCCAAATTTAACAGTTGGGCCAGCAGTGACCAGCTCATAAAACTGAAGTGATACAGTCTATGTCTGGAAACTACTAATGAACACTGACAATTTAAGTTTTGAAAATAACATGAAGTCGTCATAACTAGTAGTTGCAAGGAACTTTATCCTCCATAAATGTGTCTAATCCCCTTTGAAAGGTATCCAATTTGGTGTCCATCACTAGATCTTGTAGCACTTAATACTCAAGTTTATCTATATGTTGACCTAGGAAGTATTTCACTATCCCAAATCTCAGACACTGCAGTATTCTCCTTCCCTATGTGAAAAACTGCTACTGCTGCTCTTTCCAAAAACTCATCTGTAGTCTTATCTCAGCTTCTACAAAAACAATCCTTAGCAGCACATATTAAGTCTATCTGAAAGTAGAGTTAAAAAGCAATTAAGGAACAGTTAACAATTCATTTCGGTCACTGTAGGCAGTTCTGCTCAAGCTGCAGAATTCTCATGCAGAAAAGACAGATTCCTGCACAATACTCACTCTCATCAATGGCCGATTTGTTCTCTGCATGGCTTTCGATATCTTTAGAAAACCACTCATTGAATTCCTCGTGCGAGTCAAACAGTGTTGGCATAATGAAATGAAGCAAAGCCCAGAGCTGCAACATAAGAGCAAAAGTAAGTACTAGAAGTTAACCCACCAAGTAAGTATACTATAGAGTCTTGCCAGTAACTCTGTCACCACTTAAAAGGAAACCTTTCAATAACTATGACAGAGAAGCCCCTCTCCACATCTGATAGTAGGGTGAAACAGATCTTTCCCTTTTCTAGTTCCAAACCCAACGACTAGGATAAAGCTATGGGCACAGAGTGAACTCCAGAAAGAGAGGTCAGCAAGAGTGCAACTACGCAGATTGCACTAAAATAATTCTGTTCTCTATGAAAGGTGTCTCAGAGTCACACACGTCTGGGTCACTAGCAAGCTTCTCTGCTAGGAGACGAGAACATGGTGCTGTAAATAAAGAAGCAAGACACAGAATAACAATCTTCCAGATGCATAAAGTGCCCTGACTGTGATTCAAATGCAGAATGAAGCTCTTCTGCCAATTCTCCCACCCTTCATAGTAAATTTTCAGTAGATGTATAAAGGGTAACCGAGTGCCTATTTGCACTTCAGTAAGGCAGATCGCCGAAGAATTGATGCTTTTGAATTATGGTGCTGGAGGAGACTCTTGAGAGTCCCATGGACTGCAAGAAAAACAAACCGATCCATTCTTAAGGAAATCAGCAATGAGTGCTCATTGGAAGGACAGATCGTGAAGCTGAGGCTCCAATACTTTGGCCACCTCATGAGAAGAGAAGACTCCCTGGAAAAGACCCTGATGTTGGGAAAGATGGAGGGCACAAGGAGAAGGGGACGACAGAGGACGAGATGGTTGGATAGTGTCTTCGAAGCTACAAACATGAGTCTGACCAAACTGCGGGAGGCAGTGAAAGACAGAAGTGCCTGGCGTGCTCTGGTCCATGGGGTCACAAAGAGTCGGACACGACTAAACAACTAAACAACAACAACAAATAGCATCCCTTGCTGCCTCATTCATAGTGGGTGCCCCCTTCTGGGACCCTGAAGAATAAGAAAGGGAGAGAGCAGGCCATGTGCAACTAACCCAGCAGTGTAACAACTAAGATTTTGCATCTACTAGAACTGTAAGGATAAAAATATCATCTGTGACCAGTGAGTGTACCACAAGGTGAAGCAGAGGTCATTTACACAGCTATTCAAGGGGTTTCTGCTGAAGAGTTAAACTATCAATATATGTAAACTGTGCAGGACCAATCAAAATTTAAGCAACTTCATTATCCTAGTCAGTCAGCTTATGTAGATGTTCAAAGTCCATAAGAAATTGTGAAAACACAGAATCATTCATTTATTCTTTGAAAAACCATTTAACTGGTCTATTATGCATCTTTAACAATTTTCAGTCCAATGAATGGGATATAATACTTCCGTTCATTTGATCCATGGTTATTGTTATGGTACAGTATCCAGGAACATGGGAATGATATAAGCAAACATATGTGGACTTCTACTAGAAAAGTTCCACTGCCAAAAAGGAGAAGCTAGCTTTTAAACAGAAAATAATAGAACTGTTGCAGTCCAAGCAACAAATGAAACTTCAGCCTGTGTGGAGTTTCCTCCCGAAGCAATCAAATTCCATGTTTAGATACTGATCAGAATATCTTTGTTTATAAGTTAATCTAGAATAGTGTGAACTGGAGGGAGTCGTGCATACCTCAGCCATGGTGTTTTGGATGGGTGTCCCAGTCAGCAACAGTCTATTTCGGCACTGGAACTGAAGCAGAATTTTCCAACGAACGCTGAAATACCAATGTTATTTTAATTAATAGAATTTAGCTATGATAAAAAGTGGCAAGAAAGAACATTAATGTATAAGGTATCTTCTAGGAAAGAGAAAAGACTACATACAATTTTCTTATCATGTTAAGTCCCTACATTCCATTTCTTTCCTGAAGTTATTCTAGAGATGCAGCATAATGTAAACCATATGTTGATATAAACAAATAATGTCAAACATTACTGAGCCATGAATACATCTGACCACTAGCTTCAGTCGTGACCCGCAGTCTGTAGTGGTGCTGCCATTGAAGATGGTGCAGAGGCTGCAGCTAGTGAAGAACATGGCTGATGGCTGGCTGGTGAGGCAGCCTATGGGATCGAGCATTGCTGCTTCTGAAAGCACTGCACTGGCTGCCAGTGAACTACCAGACACAATTTGAAGTGTTAGTAAAAAGGTAAAGGTACCCCTGCCCGTACGGGCTAGTCTTGACAGACTCTAGGGTTGTGCGCCCATCTCACTCAAGAGGCCGAGGGGCCAGCGCTGTCCGGAGACACTTCTGGTCACATGGCCAGCGTGACAAGCTGCATCTGGCGAGCCAGAGCCGCACACAGAAACGCCGTTTACCTTCCCGCTAGTAAGCGGTCCCTATTTATCTACTTGCACCCCGGGGTGCTTCGAACTGCTAGGTTGGCAGGCGCTGGGACGAACAACAGGAGCGCACCACCGCTGCGGGGATTCGAACCGCGACCTTTCGATCGGCAAGCCCTAGGCGCTGAGGCTTTTACCCACAGCGCCACCCGCGTTAGTACTAGCATACAAATCCCTTTGTGGCTTGGACCCAAGTACCGAACAGATAGCCTTCCCCAATACAACCATCTCAGACTCTATTGAGTGGCAGATGAGGCCACAACTCGGTTGGAGCTAACACAGGATAGGGCTTTCTCAGTGGTGGTTCCCCATTTATGGAATGCTTCCCCTGGAGAGGTAGGTCTGTCTCCCTCATTACTTTCAGAAGGCATTTAAAAACAATCCTGCATACCCAGGCATTTAATGGCAAATAGATAATGTCCCTGGCAACATTGAAATCATTGGCTGAGATAATGTTTTTAACCATCTTTAGATATGTTTTTTGTTAGCTATGTGTTTCCCAACCTGAGCTCCTTTGGAAGGCAGGTTGGGATATGAACTGAATTAATGAAATAAATATAATAATAATACCCAGGGATTGTACAATGTGCTACAGAGGACTCAAAGGGAAACATCTCCTCTGGGGAGCCGGGCTTACTGTATTACAGGTTCAGTCAAAGTTTATAGTCTTGGATCTAGTGTTTGCAGGGACAGCGTCTTCTATGGCTGCTTCAGCAAGACTTTGAGAGCTCTCCAAGGTCCTGCAGGTACCATGGATGCCTGATATCGACGATTGCCTTTGGACGCTGCCAGGTTTCTCACAGGAAAAGGGCAGCTTTCCATTCAAGTAGGTTAACACAACCCCAAGAATTTCAAGGAGGTGGGTGCTACCGATCAATTCCAACTTAATAACTTGTTAAGAAAGATTTTGGGGAAACATTCTTGCATCCAGTTGAAAAAGTGAATTTTCCAGTCACAAACTGCCCAGATTCCTTTGGGATGATAAAGTATGGGCACCTTGACTTATGTATCAAAATTTATATACCGCTTGATTGTGTTTGGCTTTTTTAAAATAACCTTCTAAGCAATCACAACAGTGTATATCCAAACTAGGTCATGGCAGCTTGATCAGAGATGGAAAAATATGTAAGAAAAGAACTACAATATTAAGCATTGTAAGATAGTATAAATCTGTTACAGCCGTGTTTCCTATTCTATCACTGGCCAAAAAGACTCAAGAATTTTTTCTTTCTTACCTAGAGCTACTCTTCAGTGCCTGTGCCTCATCTAGCACCATGTATTGCCACTTAACCCGTTGAAAATACTTCACATCTTGGACTACAAGCTGATAACTGGTGATCACGACATGGAAAGGAGCATCCTGAGTATACAAAGTCTTCTGCAATTATGAAAACATATTTTAGTTATATAAACTGAGTTGACTCGTCAGTGATACTAAGGTAAAATATCTGTATTCAGGAACTCACACATTACATTCCCCATCTTTTTCCATATTCAATGCCTGAGTTGGGGGGGGGGGGAATCCACACACCACATTAAGAACATTGTTGGTATTCTCCCTTAAAAGTATACCTCCAATTTCCTAACTAGAAGGTCCTGTATCATAATGCTTTAAACCACGACATGTAGTTCTACCACTCAGGAAGCAATCTGCTTGCTATAGTCAGACTTCCACTTACATTGTTCTAAGAGTCAGGGCCAAAGTAGTAGCAGATTCTTTCATAAGAAGAGCTCAAATGTTGGAGCAGGGAAGGGAAATTCCCAGAAGTTCAGAACAGAAGCACACAAGGAAAGGGGAGAGTAAGCATAAATGCTGCAATTGGGCAAGAGAAATATAGGATATATAATGTGGACTAGTGAGAACTGGGACTTAAGAAGAAGGAGAGTTTGGATTTGATATCCTGCTTTATCACTACCCTAAGGACTCTCAAAGCGGCTAACATTCTCCTTTCCCTTCCTCCCCCACAACAAACACTCTGTGAGGTGAGTGGGGCTGAGAGACTTCAGAGAAGTGTGACTAGCCCAAGGTCACCCAGCAGCTGCATGTGGAGGAGCAGAGACGTGAACGCGGTTCCCCAGATTACGTGACTACTGCTCTTAACCACTACACTAGGAAGGCTGTACAATATGTGATTTAGAAGAAACACAGAGGTAGGTATCGTAGGGAAGATGAATATTAAACTAAAACTGAAAATGGGAACAGCATAATGGATACGTTTATCATTTGTCCTTTGGGAATATATTTTCATAGTCTATTGTAAATGAACAAGTACCAGAAAGGCTTTTAAAATAAGTTAAGACGTACCTGACTCCAGAATTTCCTGATCACTTTTCGGTCATGGGGATTTCCCCAGTAAGGTAGCACCTAGGACGGACACACAAACAAATGTCAAGAAAGTGCTTTCTAACAAATCTGAAGAGAAGTGGAACTATTTCATATTTCTGCCCTAAGCAAAACACTACCCCCCCAAAAAAAATCCAATAAAGCATTATTTTTCATGAAGGCAGGCTGAAATCAGAGTGCAATTCATAGCGTAAAAGAAAAATGCAACAATATTTCTAAAAGCACAGATTCTATTTGTAAGATATTGCTGAACAAGAATAGAAAGTTGATTCCAGCATCAATTTCTCTTTCAAATGTAATACATTTAATGCTACGCTGCCATCTGCTGATAAAGATAGGAACAGCATAAAACAAATTATGAGTATGTATGTACAGTATAGTTTCTCTAGGGCGCTTTTCACTTTATGCAACAACTACATGAAAATTGTGGGTTTTTTCTGATAAATATGTAAAGTGTGAAGTAAAGACATACAGTCCCCAAACAGACATTGTACATATACCAAGGAGTTGCACTCCTCTGGCTGTTGTCTGCATCTTGCTTAGGGACATGTTCTCTTCCCTCCACACTTTACATGCTTACCGTGAAAAATGGTGGTAAAGCCAGCTGCCATGTATAGTGTGAAATAATAATAATAATAATATAATAATAATAATAATAATAAAAATTTATACCCCACCTATCTGGGCAGCTCCCAACAGAATATTAAAAACACGATAAAACATCTAGGAGGACTTGTGGGCTAGGCACTGGGGTGATGGGACAATCCTCTCAGTGTACTAAGAACCCAAAAAGGTTATTCACCAGAAATTTAGAAAACAATTAGGAAATTACAGCTAAAAAGGCTGGGGAGAAGAGGGGAGAGAATGAACCAACATGCTTCTTACACCCTCTCAATTTTCAGTCTGAGCATATAATAGAACAGGAAGTTAACTGTGGAATCATTTCAAGAATGCTTGTTACCTTAAACCTAGGAACAAATCTGGCAAACTCCTGATGCCAGTTGTTTAGGGTGGAAGCCGGTGAAATAATTAAAAAGGGTCCCCAGATGTTCTCTCTCTGGAAGAGGAAAGAGAACTTAACTGAATGAAGCAATATCTGAAACAACATTAAAATAATAATAATAATTTTTTATTTATACCCCGCCCTCCCCAGCCAAGGCCGAGCTCAGAGCGGCTTACAAGCAATAATAAAAACAAGATGAATGATTACAACTTAAAAACAAAAATAAAATACAACATTAAAATAATGGAACATTAAAATGTAGCCTCATTGCAGGAGGAGAAGGAAAAGAAAAAAGAAAGAGAGGGAGGGAGGAATCAAATTGGCTCCAAGCCAAAGGCCAGGCGGATCAACTCTGTCTTACAGGCCCTGCGGAAAGAAATCAGATCCTGCAGGGCCCTGGTCTCATGAGGCAGAGCGTTCCACCAGGCCGGAGCCAGAGTTGAAAAGGCCCTGGCTCTGGTTGAAGCCAATCTAACTTCCTTAGGGCCTGGGACCACTAGGGTGTTGCTATTTATGGACCTTGAGGCTCTCCATGGGGCATACCAGGAGAGGCGGTCCCGTAGATACGAGGGTCCTAGGCCGTGAATGAAATATTGTGGATAAAGAAAATATATAGGCTATGAGGAAATTATGTAGAAAAATATATACAAAGCTCAGTTAAGATAATGGAGCAGTAGGGCTATAGATCAGGAGGGGGTTGACTAATACCAGGAACACAGAAAATGTGCAGCTATATAAGTCCTGGAAAGGCACTTAAGAATAGCAAAGCAGGTCAATTTGGGTGATGTATGGACTGAAAATAAATGTCAATGCAGAAATGTGTAAGCTGAGGTCCATTTAAACCACATATTAAGTACAGGGGTTGTAAAAGAGAAAGAATCCACCTACCTCAGCCAGATGCGCTAACAAGGCAATACTCTGCACTGTTTTACCCAACCCCATTTCATCTGCCAGGATTCCATTGATGCCCTGCAAGAGTTACAGCCACTTTACAAGTCTAGTCTGAGCAAGACAGACTAAAATGCCCAAGAGACAGCTAGAAAATCAGTAAATTACTGGAGCCCATTATCCTCCCTCAAACATCAGGTGCCACTTGCAAGTTCCATAATATCTGATATCCTTATAAAGGATTTTTTAATTACAAGACTATGAGCCCAGTTCATCTACTGGCAATGCATCCCTTTCCTTGGAGCTATACCAAGAAGGAACTCGGCTCAAAGAACTAGCTTCAAGTAACAATCGCATACCTGCTCATAAAGGTTGGCCAGCCAGTTCATGCCTTTCAGCTGGTAACCTTTCAGTTTACCATTGAAAATGGTAGGCTGTGGAATGTCCTCTCCTGCCCGGATAGATGGGTTGGCAAGGCTGTAACTTTCTCCAAAGCCGCTGCCAGACCTGTTGGCAGCCCGAAGGGCTGCTGCCCGACTCTCCTTAGCATCTTCATCAAATGACCGTGTCTAAACAAGGAGAAGTGTGGGGGGGAAAGGTTATAACCCCATGAAAACTTAGTGGGACGCCATTACCAGTGGACAAACCTCAGTAGTTTCTACATGAGTAGAATCAGGGTTAACAAACTCATTGTAGTTATATTTCCCTTTCCCTTGCTCTTGCTTGAAAATCAGCAGAAGCCAGCTTTCTCATAGTTTCGATAGACACAGAATTCCAAATTAACAGATTTGTGGTGCACAGACTAAACCTAGTAATATATAAGGCAAGCTTAAGTGTCCTGTTCCCATTCCAGGCACTCCAGAACACTTTACTCCGTTGTTCTTTCTGAGTACTTACCTGGGCCTGATGAATCCGATAGGCATCTTCGGCATTCTTCAGGGCCTGAGCCTTGTAGTAGTTACTATCTGAAAATACCACCAAATATGGAAAAAGAAAAAAGTCCACATGGATTAATCTCAAGCCTTCATAGATAGGTCAAACACATACATATCCAAAAGCCTGCAATACAGCAATGACTTGCATGATTCACCTAAATCATGCCGGAGTTCAGTTCAACTCCTTACCATAATCCTCCTGGGTAATGTTGACTACGACTCCTCCACCAATATCAATCTGCCTCTGGATAGAACTGTCTTCAAGTTTCCTCAAGATTTCCTCCTGGATTCCATCATGTCCTATATCACGTTTGCGGCTCATGAAGTGGGCATACAGCTCAGTCTGCGTAATCAGGAAGTTAAGTTTTCTCTGCTGCCGTTTAGCCTAAAGTAAGTTACAGAAGGACACAGGAAATCACAAAAGTGCTCACTTTGGCAGGACATACCGTATTTTTCGCTCTATAACACGCAGATTTTTTCTCCTAAAAAGGAAGGGGAAATGTCTGTGCGTGTTATAGAGCGAATGTGTGGTCCCTGGAGCCAAAAAATCAAGCAAAAGTCAAATCGCGAGTCACGGAGAAGGGAAACCTGAAAAGAGGAAGTGGCAGCTTTCCTGCATTCTGCCTCAGGGTCTTACTGCCCACCCTCCTCGGTTTCGTTGCTGTGATTGCTGAAACGGAACAAAGAGCAGGGAAAGCCCCTCCCCTCCAGGCAAGCAGAGTGTCGCTCTTTCTAATTCCTCTCTGTGCTCCGGTGCTGCTGGGGGAGAGGGAGAGAGAGTGGGGGAGGGAGAGGGAGAGTGGGGGAGGGAGAGGGAGAAAGAGGGGGGAGGGAGAGAGAGGGAGAGAGAGAGAGAGAGAGAGAGAGAGAGAGAGAGAGATGGCTGGCTTGGGGGGGAACTTTTGCCTTTCTTTCCTCCCACTGGTTAAATCCCTCTCCAGCATTCTTAGCCAGCTGCTTCTCTGCCCTCTCATGTCCCTTCTTTGTTTTTCCTTCGCTCCCCACTTAAAATGTGGTTACAAAGCATAGATCAACATGGATCCTCAGGATCTTTGCATTGGGTCACCCCAAATTCACCATCAGATCACATAGCATGTCCATGGCTACAGCCTGCACCAAAAAAATCACGCACCCACTGTTGCCTGGGGCTGCAATGGTGCAAAAACATGGTTAAAAGCATGGATCCACATGGATCCTCAGGATCTTTGCATTGGGTCACCCCAAATTCACCATCAGATCACATAGCATGTCCATGGCTACAGCCTGCACCAAAAAAAGCACGCACCCACTGTTGCCTGGGGCTGCAATGGTGCAAAATGTGGTTACAAAGCATGGATCCACAGGGATTCTCAGGATCTTTGCATTGGGTCACCCCAAATTCACCATCAGATCACATGTCTGTGGCCACAGCATGAAGCACAAAAATGATACATCCACTGTTTCATTCAGAATGTTTTTTCCCTTGTTTTCCTCCTCTAAAAACGATGTGCGTGTTATGGTCAGGTGCGTGTTATAGAGCGAAAAATACGGTATACTAAAGTAACCTCAAAAGAAGTTAAAACAATACAGGTAATTTTGATGACTGTAAACATATTGAAGACTTAATTATATCCTTGTACCATTTTAATATCAAAGTGATGACAATCACCCTACTACTGCAAAAAAAATTTGTTCTTTCTTGCTAACCTTGAGATGAAATCTTATGAAAAGGCACCGTATGTTTATAAGGTAAAGTAGACCTTGGCTGGATTATACAAAAATTAAAACAGAAAATAGAGCTTAGACGGCAACAAAAACAAAATACATTTTCAGCTGATGAGAAACACAGCCAGGCCTTTCTTTAGTGGCTTGCATATTGACACAGTAAAAGATTACTGTTCAGGGCATGTAAAGAGATCTTATTTCTCAACTAAAGGAAACCAGCACCCTAGCACAGAAAATTGTGCTATGCAGGCCAAAGGACATCTGGCTTATCAGATGCACTTAAAAAGTATCACTCAGACCTGCACCAATGTATCCAGAAACATTAAAAGTATTTCCCCGAGGTCAAGGGTGAGGAAAGGTTGGCCCACCAGTTGCTTTTGGCTGAGATGGGAGTTCAAGAACACCTGGACAGCCAAGTAATCTAAAAGTAACACTGAGAGGAGCATGGCATATTTTTTTAGCTGGGAATTAAACAAAAGCAGTTAGATCACAATCATAAAAAGAAATAAAAACTGGAGTGCAGTGTGTTTCTTCTCTTGACATATGGAGCACTGCAATGATTGCAGCTGATACCTCGGTTCTGCTGCCTAAGTTTTCATCTATCTGTGATATAGTCTCACCTCTCTCATCTCCTCATCCAGTTTGCGCTGCTCCAGTGCCTCCTTCTCAGCTCTTTTACGGTGTTCTTTCTCCACTTTCTCGTATTTCTTCCAGTAAAGAAGCATCTCCTTCGTAAGGCGCCGTGCCCTCGGCAGAGTCTCCTTGCAGTTTTTCTGGGCTTGGATAGCTGCTCGACGCACCTCTCTCATACACTGGTGAGCCAGCTACCAAGGGAAAGGTAGGAAAGATGGAATTTGAAGGCTGCTTGGAAATGGCAGCTAATTCAAAATACTGCTACAAGATAGCAAACTGAGACTGAGCATTAAGAGTCATATTATGCCTGTGCTTCATGAGCTTCACTGGCACCAGGTTAGCTTACAGGCCAAATTCAAAGTGCTAGCTTTGACCTATAAAACTTTTCACAGCTTGGAACCAGTATATCAGAAATATTGCCTGTCTCCACACAATCAAGATGTCTTTTTCTGGGTTCCCTTGTGATCTGAGGTGCAACAGGTGGTTACGGGGGAAAGGGTTTTGTTTTTTGTTCTTTTAGTAATGGCACAAAACTCTGGAATGCTCTCTAGGAGGCTTGCCTAGTGCCTCGGTTGATGGCACAGACAACCCCCTTTTAATTTTTCCAACATCTTTACTTCAATTGCTTTATCTGCTTTTTTGGTCTTTAGGGGTTTTATGTTTCTAATGATTTGGGTTGAATTTCTGATTTAGTATTGTAAGCCCACGGTAATTTGAATAATGGAATATAAACTCCTATAATACACAAACAGAATGATATAGATTGAAAGGTTTTACATACAGTAAATTTCTATCTTGTCTTAGTATTAAAATAATGTATGATGCATCTTACCTTTCGACTGTTGCTTAAAAACAGGTTTCGGGCAGAAACTTTTTGTTTGTATGCCTAAAAAGAAGAAAGAGTTAAAGAAATCATTGCTTGGTCACATTCTTAAAAAGTAATTTTACTGTTTCCAAATATATCTGAATTACAATATCAAAGTGTGAGTTGTATAGACAGCTGACTATTATAAAAATGATCAAGCTATGGGGCATGCTACAGCTAAATAAAACACAGATAAACATCCCCCCCCCGAAAAGCTATGATCAATATCACCAAGGAAGTATGTTGTTTGCCTTTAATTCCTGAAAACAATTTTTCCTCCTGTGGTAAAATGACTATGTTTCACTCTACACTTGTTACTCTCTTTCTTTCAACTACATAGGTGGTGGGTGACCCTTGCTCCAAAAAGTGTGGTTTAAATTAAAGGGTTTAGGAACTCAGACCGGACCAAATTTCATAAAATCATACACAGACCTTGCTAAAACAAAACTCTACAAGAGAGAAAAATTCCAAATAATTACACGTGGTTAAAATAGCTCAGAAGGTAAGAAAACAACAAACACTAACTTATCCAGCTAATTAACGAATGCTTACACTGAAATCTCAGTAGGCTGTGCAACGGAACAAGTTGCTGTCAAAAGCCCAAATAGATGCTGACCTCGGCTTGGCTGGCTGCCGAGAGCTCCCACCAATCCAGGTTTTATGGAAACATCGACCATGGGCATTCACCTCTTCCACCCAATTACCTTGTGACACCGGCCTTGAAGCCTTAACAGGAGACCGCTGAATGTAAGCTCATTATTCCTGAGGTTCTAACCCATTCCCGTAAACCAGTCCACAACACGGACAATTATTTCTTCTCTACATCAACTCATAGTTATATCACATCAAAGAGATTCGATTTTACATGCGCTCCCTTCTATGAACTTGAATACGTCCCTCTCTTTCACCCTTTTTGCCATATTGGTTTACTGCTTCTTTCTAGGCAAGCAAAAGGTTGCTTATTTAAATCAAAACCAGAAAAGTAATTGTAAAAAGTAAATACACCCTCAAAGCAGACAGCTATAAGCCAATATTGCCAACCCTGCAATTGACCAATGATAAAATATTAGCCTGGCCTTCTACCTTACCTTATTCTGCGTTCCTGCATTTGCTGGATCTGCCAGCCAAACGTATTAATTTCACTCTTTTTTACTGACAAAGCTCACCTTTGGCAGCTCCTTTTTAGCAATGCTCAGCCATACTTTGCGCCGGCGAGCATTCAACTGTTCAACGGATAAATGCTTTTTCTTGGACCCCGGTGGAGGGGTATCATGAGAGAACTTGGCAAAAACTTTGGTCTGGTGATGGCGCCGTGGAGACTCCTCAGACGAGAGTTCTTCATCCCGTCTCTTCTTTTTTTTCACCTTTTTCAACTTAGCTTCATGAGAACAGAAGGCCACATGATTAGTCTACCCTTTAACAAACTGAGGCCACTATTATTCATTCATGATTTTTTGCTCTATTCCTTCCAATAACAGATAGCAAGAGGACTGCTTTGAAACCTGCTCTTGATCCTATGTATAACGTCTGCTAATTCTTCACTGCTCTGCAGGTCTGCAGTTAAATCACATGAAGGCTTAATTACTGAGACTGAACAATCCTCACTTCATTTTTATACAGAAATATCTTGTGAGATATTTCCATGCGCTCTGGTTCACCAGAAGCGGCTTAGTCATGCTGGCCACATGACCCGGAAGCTGTACGCCAGCTCCCTCAGCCGATAAAGCGAGATGAGCGCCGCAACCCCAGAGTCGGCCACAACTAGAGCTAATGGTCAGGGGTCCCTTTACCTTTTGGGACGCGGGTGGCGCTGTGGGTAAAAGCCTCAGCGCCTAGGGCTTGCCGATCGAAAGGTCGGCGGTTTGAATCCCCGTGGCGGGGTGCGCTCCCGCTGCTCGGTCCCAGCGCCTGCCAACCTAGCAGTTTGAAAGCACCCCCGGGTGCAAGTAGATAAATAGGGACCGCTTACTGGCGGGAAGGTAAACGGCGTTTCCGTGTGCTGCGCTGGCTTGCCAGATGCAGCTTTGTCACGCTGGCCACGTGACCCGGAAGTGTCTTCAGACAGCGCTGGCCCCCGGCCTCTTAAGTGAGATGGGCGCACAACCCTAGAGTCTGTCAAGACTGGCCCGTACGGGCAGGGGTACCTTTACCTTTACCTTATCTTGTGAGAACAAAATAACTTTTCCTCTCTAAAATGGAATTCTATTCACAAACATTAAAGAAGATAAACACAATGAGGAAGTCAAATTGAGCTGTGGCAAAGATTTGGCAAAGATGCATCAAGATGTTACATATACCTGGATAATTAACTAGAACGTGAATGCAAGTCTGTGAAATAAGTATAGTATAATACACTGGGGGAGGATGAGTGAAAGAAAAAACAAAAGTTTAGAAGCCCAGTAGGAAAGGAAGTCTACCCTTATAAAATCTTAAGAAAGTATATCAATACAATGCCTACCTTTTAATTTTTTGTCCTCTTTGAACTTCTTTTTCTTGGGTCCTATGAGATGGCGCTGTTGCTCATAGTAAGGATCATATGTGGAGAGCAAACCTGCGCTGTAGTACTGGTACTGCTGTAACTGAAGCAGACTTCAATTGTTATAAATATGTATTTTACTTAAGAAATGCTTTAAGGAACACAGCTAAGCTGGAAAATTCGCAGTATGAAAAAGAAAGCTGTGTTCTTTTGTATGTCACACTAAGAAGCTGGGATGAGCAAAATAATGACCTCCTGCCTCTTTGCAAGCCAGCAATGTTTTCACTGCTCTAAAAACAAAGACTAACAGGATGAAAAGCCTGGTTTTTGTACTGAAGGGCACAGGTTAGCAAAGCTACTCTCCAAAATTGTTGGCAAAGGACAAATTACACTCTAGAATTTTACCTCTTTATCCTTGCTGTATTTACTTCGATGCAGTTTCTTGTACTTGTGCAGTCGCAGCATATTGTGAAGTTCTTCCCTAGATAGAGTAAATTCATCCCCTTCTTCCCCATCCTCATCAGTTGCTGACTCACTGTCACTGGAGTCATCACTCAGGAGAATGCTCTGCCAAAATTGAGAGGATTTTAGGTCAGTAAGAGTGAGCAAGATGACCAGATTAGTGTACAATAATTCCTTTAAAATGCCTGCCTGTTTATGACTGCTAGGTTATGAAAAAAATGAGTAACACCTTCTACAGACCATCCTAAGCCCCTTAATATTTCCTAACATATCTTCCCACTACATCACCTGCTTGCAATCCTAAGAAACTTTTATTATAGTAATAAGAAAAAATAGTATACACTCTCAATGCGCGCCAAGATTTTGAAACTCCCATGCCAGGATTCCCTATCTCCACCCTGCCCAACTCATTCAGAGATTCTTTTGATGCCTTTCTCATCACTCTAGGGCAACTGACCAGGTAAATAATGCTACAATTCTAAGCAAGCAACTGCACAGATATCAGAGATTGTAATGTAGGATTAACAAAATTAATTCCTCTCAATTTCATGAAGCCAAGAAGTTTTAACAGATGGTGAGGTGTTTTGACAGCTTCACTCTTTTTAGAAAGCTTTCTGATTTCTGTAACTACATCATAAAATAATGCAATAGAAGTAGCAATGTAAACACATTTGGATTTCAGAATAATAAAACTCCCACCTTTAGCCACTTTCTGCTTTTCTTCAATTTGGAAAAGTTGTATAGATTCCCTTTTTCTGCTTTTGGCTCTGTTTAAACAACACAGTAAGATAAAAAATGGTATTATTCACATGAGTCAACAGATTTAGCTGGAGAAAGCATTTATCCCTGTCCTAAGTACAAAAAATACATACACAGTGATAACAAAGGCTACTAGCCTTCATCCATTTTAAAGTGGATAGTTCTGCATTTGGCAAGCATATTGGTCCTTGTCCCAAACATATGTCTACTGTCGAAGGCTAGGTTACTCACCCAATGCAAACTAAAATTAATTGTAAAGCACATTTACCAGATTGCAGCACTCCATTGAGCGAATGCGTGTTTAACATTCCAGAACTTCCTGCTCCGGATGACTCCCCAAGCAAGGAGCTTGTAGGTTCTTCTTTAACTTGTATCAAGGGACCCCCAGGCTGAGGAAGCAGAGGATTGTCATCCAATCCATCTTCACTTTCATCACTACAATAAAGTTTAAAATAATCGTTATCACAGCAAAAAGGACAAGTGAGGTATAAATAAACAACCACACTCCATCTCAGCAAATGCTCATTTTGCTCCATCCCCCAACACTGGATATATTTGTAATTATATTATGGACAAGATTAAATTTCACATATGAAAAAAGAGTACAATTTAAAATTCTAACTAAATTAAACAAGATACATTTCTTGCTCTTAAAGTATTATAGGAAGATCAGGTTTTATAAGGAAGTTAAGCATGTTTCAGTTTTGCACAGTATTTCCTTTTCCTCCCAAAAGGAAACCTTTTGCTTCCATGGCTTCAAATTTTTCAGAAATTTTACATAAACCACTCATATGTGAAAACTAATTATAAATTTGGTTGGATTTTTATTTTTTTTTAAAAAACACCTACTGTCATTCTCTACTACAGTTTAAGGGCCAAACCAGATGAGGAATGTTAATCCCCACCCAGTTCTGCTGATTAAAATCTGCAGTTGCTGTTTGACCCCCTTCATCTGCATCACCCTCCACTATATCCCAAGAGTCCCTTAACCCTTAGGAACTGATCTTTGGGGGGGGGGGAGAATTGGGGCATGCAGAGCTCCTTTCCATAAAATAAAGTCAGAATTCAAGCATCCCACACACTTAAGATGAAAACAATAATATGCCTCTTTTCTACGTGTGCCCAAATCGAAGTAAGGTAAAACTTCTAGTACCTGGATACATTCCTGTTGAAGATAGCGGAAGTCTGACGTAAAAAATGATCCAACCGCAGAGCTTTCTCCAGATATCGCAAATAGAGGGGCGTTGCCAGCTCTGTGCAGTTGCCATCCTCTCTTGCACCCAGCTCTGAGGCCATAGAACAAGCCTCTCCTCATGCAAAGTTGCCTCCTAACGCACAGCTGTTCCAAAACAGAATGTAACTATTTAGCATAATCATATCTATTTGAAGTCCTTTTTAAAAAAAAATGTTGTTGTTTTGTTGTTGTTGTTGTGAATTCAATTTCTATACTGCCCTTCATCCAAGGATGACAGGGTGGTTTACAATATATATAAAAAGTAATAAACTCACAGGATCCTGTTTCTTTTCATGGGGATTTTTTTATTGTGGCTTATATTGGGTTGACCTGTAATGCCTGTCAATGCATGTGCTTGGAAGATCAGGTTGCTTGTGTCCTATTTAAATTCTATACCAATAGTCATTGTGGTATATTTCATTGTGGAATTACATTTTCAAAGTTTGTTCCCATGACTGTCCAACTAGGTAACAGAACAAAATTAAACATCACGTGATAAAAAAATGTTCAAATGGTTTCACTTAAGTCTTATCAAATTTTATCAGCAGGGATTATAATTCGGGTTGCAAAAGAAAAAAATTGTTTTTTATTTGGCCTTGCATCTAGGCCCCTGGCAAAGAGATGAGAAAGACCTGGCCTGAATATTGGGGGTTTTCTAATAGCATCCTTGGGAACCCTGGGGCTTCTTGGAAGGGTTTGTCAAGGAGAAGTAGCAAAAGGAGGTTTGCCCAACCTTGTTGATCTTCCCTTGCAATATACAGCTGCAGGAAAGAGATAGGTGTATCCTAGTTTATAAACTCAGTTCATATGAGGCAACTGTGAGGCCAAAGAGACCAAGTTGACACATTGTGTGAACTAAACATGCATTCTAGAACAATGCCGGAGACTCCCACAGAGGGGTCCATCGCAAACAAATCAACGAGGAAACTGTTCCACTGACTTTTAAAAAATCATCTATCTGACGTGATATGAGAGCTCTTTATTCTAGAATCTAATATAAGTAGTTCATTGACAGGGATACATAATAGCACAAATGATACAGGAATAATGTAGGAAAATGTGAATTGGCTTGCTATACACCAACATTTAGCGTTCCAAGACCATGGTAAGCCACTACAACTGTTGCATAATGCAGCATACAAGCTCACATATCTCAACAGTTCTCGTGATATTTATTTATTTAACAGGACTTATGCTAGTTCTTCTTGCATTTGCCAGCAGATAACACAATACAGATGTCACAACTTATTTATGACAATAACACTGAAGTTCAGAAATTGCATACAGCTGACTTCACCGCTCACAGAATATATAATTGCAAAAGTAAACACAAGTTTCAATATTTTATTATTTATTAATTACCGTATTTTTGCTCTATAAGACTCACTTTTTCCCTCCTAAAAAGTAAGGGGAAATGTGTGTGCGTCTTATGGAGCGAATGCAGGCTGCGCAGCTATCCCAGAAGCCAGAACAGCAAGAGGGATTGCTGCTTTCACTGTGCAGCGATCCCTCTTGCTGTTCTGGCTTCTGAGATTCAGAATATTTTTTTTCTTGTTTTCCTCCTCCAAAAACTAGGTGCGTCTTGTGGTTCCACCACAACTCCTTGCAAAGGGTGAATACTGTATGACTGACATTATCTTTCCCTAATAGCTGACTCCTCTAATGGAGATATCAGGGGAACCAAACGCAGGAAAAAAAGCAGAGAGCCTGATAAACAGTAGCTGGGAAGATGTTTCTTCCCCTCTATTCCACCACAGTTACATAGATCTGTGGATGAAGACCTGTTGATGGCCTTGTGGTAAAGCATGCTGTGACTCCAGCACATGCTTTTAGTACAGTGGTACCTCGGGTTACATACGCTTCAGGTTACAGATTCCGCTAACCCAGAAATAGTGCTTCAGGTTAAGAACTTTGCTTCAGGATAAGAACAGAAATTGGGCTCCGGCGGTGCAGCGGCAGCAGGAGGCCCCATTAGTTAAAGTGGTGCTTCAGGTTAAGAACAGTTTCAGGTTAAGAACAGACCTCCGGAACGAATTAAGAACTTAACCCGAGGTACCACTGTATTGTGTCACCAGTTCTCTAGTATTCTTAGAAGGGAAGCAATCCTCAATCAACACTGTTATGTTCTCAACATCCATGGGATACTTTACTTTTCTCCCAAGCCTTCCCAAATTGGTCTATTTCATTTCTGCCATTTTAAAATTCATGTTGATTTTTATATTTTAAAACTGCTTTTGTATTAAGTATTTTATTCTATTTTTGTACACTCCAAATATATACTGTGAATATATAGTGTAATAAATTCTTTTAAATAAATAGTGTTTTGAGCCCAGCACATTTCAAATATCAACCCTTCTGCAGGAATATTCTGCAATATTAAACTATACTAAAAACTCCTACCAGATCCAGACACTATGAGCAAGGCTCAGGCCAGGGATAGTGAGAGTTGCAGTCCAGCAACATCTGGAGGGCACTGGGTTGTGGGAGCCTCTCATAACCCTTTTATATAAAAAATAATAAAACTAAAACTAATCAGGGGCACCCCAGCAGGAAAAAGAGCAACTAAATGATGGTTGTCTCGCTCAGTAGCTAGCTTATCTACCTATAATGAGCACTTAGGCAAAGGTACTATTATGCAACTGCGGATTATCATTCTGTATCCTGCCCACTCCCATACAGAACAGACCATAAGCAAATCTTGCAGAACAACCAGTAGCAAACATTTGCACATCCAGCTGTTCTTATGTGGGGTTGCCACCTTTTCATCTAGCAGGGCTGCTATAAGTTCAATTTTGTTTGCAAGACAAATTATGTGCAATCAAACTTAGCATGGGGATACAGTGATGGGGGCAGGTGTTATTCCGCTGCCAGGAGCCCTGCTAGAATAGGTGGTTAGCAACTCTACTCATCTTGCTTTTAAAACTCACTTTAGCACTGATATTGTTCAATGCGAGCTTTGTCTCACCTGTTCCTATAAGGGCAAGCAAAGAAAGTGCCCCCACATTTGTTGATAATTTCAACAGCTTTAATGGTGAGATCCCACAACAGAAGGAAAAGTGATGCTGGTTAACAGCTGTGTGGTCAATATACCTTTAACCTCTTACCCATGTAGGACTTGCCTTTTCTGCTGTGGAACACCTCAGCTGTGCATTGTGTAGAATGGCAGGCTTCCCATCACTCTTTTTTGTAGGAATGGGGGCTTCTTTGGCCACACAACAGCCGAGCCAGAAGAGGCAGAACCATAGAAGCCACAATTTCTGGCTTGACTACCAAAGGCACCCAACACAGACAGTGTGAATCCCGGACAATCTCAGGTGTGCCTGTGTTGACAGGCTCCTCCCAACCTCCTTCACAGGGAGTCTGTGTACGGGTTCAAACTTGGGGCCTCATGTATGCAAAACAAGTTGGCCTGCAGAGCAAAAGCTTTAAATAAATCCTCCCTAGTCCTAGTTTATATCTGCCTGGGCTGTCAGATGACAAAGGTTCTATCCTAGGTTTTTCTCCAGCTGATGTTTGATTTAGGGAGCTGCTCTACTGAGTGTGAAGTGTGGCATGTTATCTCTACCTTTCTTTGCTTCCAAGACTACTGGCTAATTAGCTAGGTAGCCAAAATGTGTGTTTTGCCTTGGGGTGAGTTTAATAAATCCCTAGGCTAGGAGTTGAACTGCTATCCCTTATTTCCCATTTTTATTATATTTCCGACTGGCCTACCAGGGAGGTTGCTCCCCGGGAGTTTGTTGTGGCTACAGTGCTTGCTTGTTCGTCCACTGGCTAGCTGCTCCCTCTTGGTATCATTCCCTTTATCATAGCCTACTGGGCCTTGAATTCCTCTCCTGGGAAAGCCAAAGATTTGGGTTTGGGTGAGATAAGATTCAGAGGTTATGTTGTGATTGCTTGCTATATATAAATGTTTTCGTTAACTTGCAGCTGACTGTTTATATCTTGTACACAATGATTTTATAGTCATTTGTATGTAACCATCCTAGGATTGTCAAACTTCAGGGCAGGTGTAGAAGTTGAGTGAATACATCAAATAGTGTCTTCCAAATGAGCTAAAGATATGCTTGGGTGTCGCAACTTGCAGCATCCATACTTACTATTCTTTTTTTAAACTTCATAGAGTGACCCAAGGCAACTTACATTTAAAAAAATAAGAACAACAAAAAATACTATATATATATAAAAAACCAATACAATTCCAATATAAAATTGGAAGGCCTGGCCCACTAAATAAAGCCAGAATGGCACCTTTCAAATAAAGGGCCAAAAGCCCAGGCAACATTTCCTGTGTTCCCCTATGCCCTTGACTGATGAAAATGTGACTATTTCTAGGCTGCCCATGTTTGTGATATAAGAGGACACAAACTTCAGGAGTGCATAGGTACTGGTGACAACTGCTGGACTATGCTGGCTGCAGGATGGTAGTGTGAACTACTAAGGGCACTAGTGTGCCTTTGTGACTGCCAGATTAGTGTGTGAGGCAAGGTGGCAGCAGAGATGTGTGTCCACCACCACAGTAAGTGGGTTGGTTTCTTCCAATGCTGGCTACTGTGCAGTGTGCAGGCATCATTAACACATGACGCTGTGATTTGTGGGTGTAAGCAGTGTTGCCAGGGATGCTGTGGGGGAGTCCGTCAGTGTTGTTATGTTCTTCTTTAAAGTGGCATAATTTGCTGTTGACTTTGCTGCTAGGAGTGTAAGGGATCCCAACTGCATTAAGCTACTACTACATTGACATCAGTGGTATTGACATAGCAGTACCGTTGGACTACGCTGTTAGTCAAACTGTGACTTTTGTTGCATTCTCACATAATGGCAGGTGAAGAGAAAACAACAGAGTACAGTACGTGATCCCTCACAAACCCATATAACTGTCAGTTCTGGGTTGTGGACTATGCCACATCTAAAATCTGCACAAGCTTCTAATCAGGTATTTGTACAAGACTTCTTCAAAAAGACTATTTGGAATCTAGTTCTTTCGGAGAGATCTGCAATACTAAAATGCCTGTATGCCACTGGTTCAGGATAGCAAATCAGTAATCTCAAATGGACAACATGTTCTTGAAAAATGAGTTCAGGCTCTAGCCCAATAAAGGCATTATTAACTTAGTAAGTTTGTAGAAAAGCCTTTTTCAAAAATAGTTAAAGAATTACTATATAACAACGAAGATTGAAATCAACATAGGAGTCCGGACAAGAACATACTTAACATAGGTAAAAACCTACCTACCACAGAAAGAAATGAGCAAACTGATAATGGATGACTTTTCAGCAGCTTAACACATTTTTATAGGTGAAAAACTACTTTAATTCTGAGAGAAGAGCTGCTTTGTAACAAATCCGCAAGTGTTTGTTGTAAGTACCATTGTATGTAGTAAACTTTGCTGTTGTGTGGTAGAAAACACAGCCAAGGGTTGACAACTAGTGATATACACATCTGTCACACAGACCATTGACCCTTATACAAAACTAGTGCATAGGTCGCTTCACAGCCAATACATGACATTTGTGGTTTTGCTTCGCTGGGTCAGTTGCTTCTGTGCTTAACTGGTACAGAATTGTCTAAGGTTTACTGTGCGGGGTTCCACTAAAGCAAAAGCATTTTTACCACCAGATTATGGAAATAAATCAATCCTAATTTAATATTCTTCTGTACTTTACTTTTTCTTTAAATTTTGAATCAGTTTCAGTAAACAGAAAAACTAAAATTGATTAAAGTTGAGTTTCATTTTGATTTGAATCTGTGGCTATCTAAAGTCAAAGAACAACATATTCATGGTTGCTAAACAACAGAGTAGAAGAAAAAAATCCTAGGAAATCTATTGATTTGGATTTGGGAAGGAAGTTCAAGTTCCACCTTTTTCAAAGACTATGTGAATGGATAAAACTATACTGAGGTTGTACTGCTATGAACACTTACTTTGGTGTTGACTTTATTAAACTTGGTGGGGCTTACTTTCAGTTAAAAGATAGGTAGGATCTGGCCATACATTTCCATTACTCATCTGTGAAATGGTAATACTAGCAACCAACTACAGAACTGTTTTGAAGGCAAACGTATACTTTGCAAATCTGAAGTACTAAGTAAATGTTTAGCAGTGTAAGTTTTAACCTATGCCACACGTTCTTTCTCATTCTAATTTTTCAAGTAGCAGTACAAGATATTCTAGTTGAACAACTGCTTTTGGCTTCTATAATTAAGATGTTAACAACATAACATTTCTAATCCTGAAGCACTAAAACACATGAAGAAAAACAATCAAGCTCCAGTCAAAACAGCCCCATGTTGGTTTTGATGCAGCAGAGCAGAGGTGGCTAACTTATGAATGGCCCTCCAGATACTGAAGAAGAAGAGTTTGGATTTGATATCCCGCCTTTCACTCCCCTTCAGGAGTCTCAAAGCGGCTAACATTCTCCTTTCCCTTCCTCCCCCACAACAAACACTCTGTGAGGTGAGTGGGGCTGAGAGACTTCAAAGAAGTGTGACTGGCCCAAGGTCACCCAGCAGCTGCATGTGGAGGAGCGGAGACGCGAACCCGGTTCCCCAGATTACGAGATTACCGCTCTTAACCACTACACCACACTCTCCTACATGTCCCATTATCCTTGACCATTGGCCATGATGGCTGAGGATGATGGGAGTTGCAGTTCAACAACGTTTAAAGAGCTGCAGATTAGCTACCCCTGCAGCAGAGGAACCAATTTAGCTGCTCTGAATCAAACAATTTACATCCAAAATTTGGAAATAATACACTGTGATGGTCTAATTACAAGCAGACCATCACAGCCCTTAGTACACTAATAAGTACAGTCAAACCTTGGTTGTCGAACATTATCGGTTCCGGAAACCTCTTCAGCTTCTGAAATGTTCAGCAACCAAGGTGAGACTTATGATTGGTTGCAAGAGCTTCTTGCACTCAGGCAGAAGCCACGTCGGACGTTTGGCTTCCAAAAGCCATTAAACAACCAGAGCATTTACTTCTGGGTTTTTGGCGTTTGGGAGCTGAAATGTTTGAAAACGGAGCCATTCGACAACTGAGGTTTGTACTGGTATTTACCTCTCCTCTGTCAAAACACTACTTCTACCCAAGAAACCTTGCAGGAGATTGCATAGAAGTCAAGATTAAGATGTGTACTGAAGTTTTTTAAATAACAGAAACACTCGCTCCTATTAGTAGTATGTATGGAACACAGGCATGCTGACCTGTCATAAATACATTTGTGAAAGGTAAGAGTTTGCTTGCAACCAGGGGGCAAAGGAAGTGATAGTCATCATGTTATGCTACAAGCTAACCAGGCTTTCCAGTTAAAACATGGAACAGCACAATCTTAACCAACAGCCCTCCATGATTGCCAGCCTTTAATTTCCAGTTACCGAGGACAGCCCAGCAGCCAAACGTTTTGGAGTGTGATCAGGATGCACTATATGCATCCCAGATCAAACTACCAAATCACACATACCATGTGACCAGTAAGTCATTTACAGCTTTTAAGCACGTGTTCTACATAATCGAAGCGAACAGAAATTTTCAGATTAAAATTGCGAAACCGATATGCACTTTTATTTTCTGTTTTACGCTTGACGCTCAAGTATGCTGGGGTCTTGGAATCTGCAAGCACTAATCCTGAACCCCCACAAACCACACCGAAATAAAACCGAATAAAGAGTCGAACCGCACGTTCCAATGGTTAACAGACCGCATAGGAAGCAGTGCGGTTGGCAATCCTATAGGCTAAACCGGGACGCTGCTTAAGGCGGGGCTGTCAAGCCCATACGCTGAGCTCCCGTTTCCTCGTCCGCCGCCTTCATGCAAAGCGCGGGGCGCGCACGTGGGCTGGGTGCGACCGACACACCCTCACCCCGGCGCCGCACGCTGCCGAGGGGCGGCACAGGCCCCGCCAAGGGCGCCTTCCCTCCTTCCGCGGGAGCGTTTTGCGGGCGAGGGGAGGTTGCCGGGGTCCCGCCCCCTCCGCAGTGGGGGGCGCGCGTGTGCCTGCTCTCCCTCCCTCCGCCCCAGAGGAGCGACAGGGCCTGTCGCTTTAAGAGAAGGCCCGGCTGCCGGGGCCGCTGCGGAGCGAGCGGGAAGGAGGGGTTGGGTTCGGGGGGGAAGCCGGAACCTGGCCTAGCGGGTCCCTCCGGCGCTGCCCCCTGCCTCGGCCCGGGAGCCCCGGCGTCTTACCTGGTGCGTGGCCCGGCTTGGGCCGGGGGTGGCTTTCGAGTTGCCCGCCCCGCTCTCTCGCGCCGGCCTCTCGCCCCGCGCTGCGCTGGCGCTGCCTGTGCCCTGCCGCGGTGCCTCTCGGCTTCTGCCTCGCCAAGATGGCGGCCGCGCTATTGCTGCTGAGGAGGCGGCGGCTGCGGGCGCTGGGACGGCGGCGGCGGCCACTTTCGCTCACTGAGAGGAGAGGAGCAGGGACACGGGGAGCCATGGCGGGGGGGAGGAGAGGCGCCATGGCCAGGCCAGAACAATCGAACTCGGCACCCCTAGCTGGCCCTCGGAGCCCCCACCTAGAAATACTCGGTGGCGGGCTTCGCCGCAGCCGCTACACTGTCCCCGAGCCCACATCCCGTGCTCTTCCCCCCACATAGAACCCACAAGGACCCCTGTAGCATCGATTCGTTCATCGTTCGACTGGTTGAGTCTGGCGGTGACGGAAATTACCGAACGCTTTCGGCCGAAGAGACTGGCGTGAGTTAGCAATTCTCGCGCGAGGCGCCAGCTAAAGGTTCGCGAGGGTAAGATTCCAACGGGAGCTCCTTGGAAGTGACGTAGCGTTTGGCTAACCTTGCTCCTGTGTTTAGGGGTGGGGCTGTGCAGACCTTGGTAGGCCTGCGATCAACAGAGAGCCAGCCTTTTGATTGAAAGTATTTTCACAGGCAGTAATCGAATTCTCTCTGTTCGCAGTTCGTCTCCACGCGGTTTCTCCAGCACGCTTTTGCCACGGCTGTTTTTTATTAAAGCCCGAAGGACGGCACATAAATCTCTTACAGTGAATGAAATAATACTGAGAACTGGATCCCTTTAATCAAAGGCCCCATGCATTAATTTGATAGTACATGGTATCAATTTCTCTTTCAATTCACCTCCCCACTCCCCGCACATTTCTTGTCTTACCACTCGAGTATTAAACCGTTTGCCACACTGGAAAATATTAAGCTATTTTTGTAACTGCCTTGCAAGGACAATGGTGATAGCTCTAAGGTGCTGCAGTATATCTTTGTTGTAAATAAAAAATATATGCCCTTTTCCCTTATGGGGTATCCAAGAGCCCATATAGAGTCCTTACATAGGTTCCCTATTGGTAGGAGAAAATAACAGAGGCCAACCAGAGAATATTGAGAAGCAAAGCAGCTAGTAAGCTTGATCTTTATTGATCTGTTGCAACAGGGTACTCCCTCACACGCAGGAGAGGAGGAGGACCCAGAACAATGGCCTGCAAGGCCTTATAAAGACTTTTGAAATTCCCATCCTCTAGATCAAGACCACCCCCAGAAACATTATGCATACATCACAGAAGGGGTGTAACCTAAGACCACCCCTCAGATACATCCCACCTACATCACAGAAATTTAAATGTTGTTTTTCTCTTGTCCTTGTTTATCTCCTGTCTAGCAGGTTACTTGATTGGATTTTCTGGAGAGCCTGGCCATTCTTTTGTAGTGGTAAAATACTTATTTCCTGGGCCAGGTCACAGGCTCACACCTTATTCAAACACAGATTAAGACAGGATTTGTGAAGGAAGAGACAATGGGGAGGCTTTTCCATTTTTAACCTTGCAGAGAAAGGATTTGGTCACAGTTTAGGAATCAAAATGGTTCCAGGTTGGCTTTCCTGTGCTGATCTATGTATGTGCAGTTATGAACATTACTATATATTTAAGACCATAAAATTCCTATCACATTATTCCCCCTTTGGGGCTAGAATTTTTCTTAAAAATTTTTGCCCCACAAATAATAACATCGTATGTTGTAAATGGGTGTGTTTGTATAAATATATCATAAAAATAACACATGTTGCGTTTTGCTACTAAATTACTTGTGGCATTCTAACACTTTGGGAGAGACCATTTACTCAATAGTGTTCTATGCTTTACACCTAGCAGGAAGGTAAGGTCCACTAGTGACTGAAAAGTGCAGTTTGCTTCCCCCCCGCCATTTTTGTGTTCTCAGGTGTCAAGGTAGCTCTTCTGTGGTCTCACACTGACAGTGCTACAGCAACACATCCTGTCTGTTGAATCCCCTCAGGGCTTTCATTTAACCATGTCGCCTGGCATTCACCATAGCTGGCACAGGTTTGGGCATCTCGTGAGGGAGAGGTCTTCGCCTTGGCCTTTAGCTATGGGATTTTATTATAGGCTGTGGTCTCGCACTCGCACAATGGGAAGTTGCTCACTTGCACTTAAAGGACCAAAAGCTAATTGCAGCCTGGATACACTTGCCCAATTCAAACTGAGTCCAATTTGAATTTATCTTGCCCCATGGTTCTCAACTCTTCAAACCAATCTGTTAAAAGAAAACCATTCTTAACAAGGGCAGTTGTCCAAATAAGTCAATTTAAGTCTATAAGAAATCATTCCTGCTAAACCAAAGCATATCCACCTTCATGTTTCTTAGAAGCTTCTCCTTGGTAAAGCAAGTTTTAGCACATTTTTTTAAAATGGGTAGGGAAGGTCAGCATAGTGCCAGGTGGGACAACGAATTGTGGTTATCTAAACATTGGACTACACAATAGTGTGAGCTATTAGAAAGTATAAAATGCATGAGAATTCTCCACTGGTGTGTAAGGAATAAGACATAAAACATAAAAACAGTTACACAAAAAAAAAATTGCCCCCCTTTGTGGAAATCACACTGTCAGACACATTTCAACATTCTTACATAATAACACATAATACAAAAAAAAAAAAACCACACTAATTAAATATCAGTTGCCTATCTTGAGACAATTGTGATCTTCTCAATCCTGGAGCACAGTCTTAAGGTTCAAAAGTGGGAAAATGTCCTTGCAATTCAACTCCTCCCCCCTTTGTCAGGTCCACTCCCCCCCCCGGCAGTCTATATCCTTTGAAAGAGATAGCTGTGGGCACTATGAAAACTCTGCTGTTGCTGGTCTTGTGATGGGTTGACTGAGTTGAGGGGTTGTTGCTGCTCATCATTGCACATCTGTAGAAGTGATATCCTGTAAGGGGCAGGGTTTTGGGGTGACTTAAAAACACAGTTAGACAAGAAAGGGGCGAAAGGCAAAAAGGATGTCCTCCAGTTTCCATGGGAAGCTGCAAATAATAACAATCGTAGTGGATTAAACATTTTATTCATTATCACATTTCTATATAATTACTGTTATTATCTGCTAAGTTTGTTTGCTTTCCTTCACTTAATTTTTGTTGTTGTTGTTCTTTTCATATTATAAAATAAAAAATTACTCCACATGTATAGAAAGAGAACTGTAAAAAATACAAAGGTTAAAAAATAAAAAGAAAGCAAAAAATTAGATTACCAGTTAGATGAAAATGGACTTGACACAAAGACATCAGATTCAGAAAATAACTATTATTAAATAGTACAAAGATATTATCAAAACCACACATATTACTACTGGACTGAAAAAAATGAGACTGACTTTCAACATGTGATGAACATGTCCCCAAAGTAAAACACAAACACACAAAATGAGCTATGAGGAACCAAAAATAAATAAATGCTAAGGCACACAATAAGTAACCTGAAGTAATCTGTTTTGGCATTCTAACATCCCAAATGAAAATAAAAGAGTGTTTCTTGATGTGACAACATCAGCTGTAATGTTAATACTGGGAAATGAGTTAATACCAATAAAAATGAATGGCAATTTAAAGTTGTACAAGTACCTTGCACTAGCCAAAATGACAGAATTAAGAAATGCTCAGGCAAAAAGGTAAACAATACCATTCCACAAACAATGTTTGGTTGTGCTTCGATTAATTTCATATATATAATGGAAGAACTGATAAAACGAACGAAATAAACGAAAACAAATTATTTGTAACCTAAAAAAAATGTCAAAGCCACAAAGAGAAAGAAATCAACCAATATAGCAGGGATTCAGACTTGTTTTGCTGAACAGAAAGAAAGTGACAGTTTGGCTTTTAGGGAAGAAAGACAAAAGAGAAACAAATGCAATTACTTTTTATAGAGTATTTAAATCACTGTTTGCATCCCCTCATTATCATTTGTGCTGTGGGAGAAAAGAAAGGACACTCTGTTAAAAGGGGAAATTATTTCATGTGAGAGGTCTGTCAGGAAATGCTGTTCCTAAAATGCATAGGCATATACACACCTGTTGAAAGGGGAAATTATTTCATGTGGGAGGTTTGTCAGGAAATGCTGTTCCTAAAATGCATAGGCATATACACACACACACAAAAAACTGTTATAAAATTTCTCTCTCTTTTTTTTTTTAAGCTGATCTAGCCTCTGTGCATGTGCAGAGTTCATGTCTCAGCAAACCTTTTATACCATTGAAAATGTTGCATCTTTTGGCTCAATTAGAATAAGGAAGGGAAAGGTAAGGAGTAGATTTTAAAAATAGGGTTAGATTTTAAAACAAGAAAGAGAAACTCAGCAATACAAGTATTCACCATTCAGCCCAAGCAAAGGAGTGCTTCCTTTATGTACAGGAAAGGGCTATCATTATTGGTCATTTTATCTGGTCATTCGCGGAACAATCAACCGCTCTCTTATTTATGAGTAAAAATGGCCAGGTAAGGAGTAGATTTTAAAAATAGGGTTAGATTTTAAAACAAAAAAGAGAAACTCAGCAATTCAAGTATTCACCATTCAGCCCAAGCAAACGAGACTGCTTCCTTTATGTACAGGAAAGGGCTAATATCCCTCTGGCCATTCGCGGAACAATCAACCGCTCTCTTATTTATGAGTAAAAATGGCCAGAGAGTTAGAATTCATAGGATTTTTTATTTATTTTATTTTTTTAACATTCTCAGTCATGGTCAAGGCTAATTCTACTTAACTATATGAATTTTTATGTGCTTAAACTTTGAGTAGACTTTTAAGTCTGATTTTGTAAATAATAGACAAAATGATAAACACTGTAATCACTTAAATGCCTGATATCACCAGTTCTGCTTCAAACATCACGAGCAAATCTGGGCTGAATTTCAACACATCAGCTACAAATTGGGAAAGTTGAAAGGGACCTGGGTCATCTAGTCCAACCCTAAAATACAGGGTTCATAGCAAGATTTGTACTACCCAGAAAACACACACATTCACCTCTCACCTTTAAAAACAAAGAGCAAATCTGGGCTGGATTTCAACTCATCAGCCACAAATTGGGAAAGTTGAAAAGGGACCTGGGGTCATCTAGTCCAACCCTAAAATACAGGGGTTCATAGCAAGATTTGTACTACCAGAAACACACACATACTTATGTACACAGACACAACTGGGAAGAGATCACCAAGCCATGCGCCTATCATGTACTAAGGAAGAGGAAAATAAAAGTACCCAAGTAGTTTGAGTGAGAGTTTACTTCCTTAGACTAAAGAGTGAAAGTTCCTAGATAAATTATCTTTAAAGACTGAAGTGAACAATTTTCCTAAGATAGGGAGAGGATCTCTATAAAGCATAGTTAAAACAGCCATAGATTTTGATTTGAAAGGAATACAAAAGTGAACAATTTTTCCTGAACTTGCAGAGGAATAGTATGCCTAATCTATGCCCCCCCCCCCTGCAGTTTCCTTTAAAGGAAGCTTACTCGGGAGTAAATTACCTGGCACAGAATAAGAAGAAGAAGGGAAAAAAACCCTGAAAAAGACAGAATGAAACAAGGGGGGCATTTTCTAAGAAAAGAGGTCAGGAAGTCTTATAGAGACTGATATCAGGAGCCTTACAATAACTCTTCTGTCCAACCAAATCAAAGTTAAAACTGGACTCACATATTTTTCTTAGAAGGAACACCATACTTCATAGGCATATGCTTAATGAAATACATACACTGCATTTTAGCTTGAGAGAGCAGTTGGCTCAACTAGGCTTTTGCAGCAGAAACTTAGGTTAACTTAGACTGGAACACAGGTGTAGTCACAAACTCAAAGTTACAACACAACATCATTTACCACTTAGACTTAAAATCACCCCTCCCACTGAACTAGAGAAAGGAGGTGGGGTAATCCTCTTTCAGAACACAAGTAGCACGTATACAGGATTTTACCACTTGGGAGAAAAACTCTCCTTTTAGAGCCTCTTTAACAAACATTTGCACACTTCATTCTCCATTTTGTCTGTTTTAAGACTGATAAGGTTCAACACGGCTTCCTTAGATTTAGAATTTGGAGGCAAGCTTGCATTTTTTATTTTTTTATATTTTTATTTTTGATGGCACATTTAAGATAAGCAGCTGCTGGATGTTACCTAAGTACAATTTAAACACAGGAAAAACGTTTCTTAAACACAAATTGAAGGGGACTGTTAGAGTCCAGGCGGGAAGTAAGCACCAACTGGGCTTCTTTCCCATCAGAGTCTGTGGGTTCATTTCTTTTGATTGAGGTGCACCATTTTAAGAATTTTAATAGCGCTAGCTTTTACTTTTATACTGCAGTCGGGGTTTTATCAACTGCAATCTGGAGTTTGTGTGCCATGATTTTTGCCTTGTTAGTTCAGTTGGTTAGACTGTGGTGCTGATAACGCCAAGGCTGCAGGTTCGATCCATGTATGCAAGAGCTTCATATTCCTGCACTGCAAGGGCTGGACTAGATCTTCCCCAGGGTCCCTTCCAACTCTACAGTTCTATGATTCTACTAACCTACATGTACATTTAAATGATGTATTTTAATTCCCTTTTTCTAACAGATACGAAGATGAAATCAACAAGCGCACAACAGCAGAAAATGACTTCGTTGTGCTCAAGAAGGTGAGAAGCCATAACTGTTTTTAAGTCACAGTGAAATTGGTAATCATATGTGTTCTGACTCAAAACCTATGGCTGGCTAGTTGTGTGCCTTGATGGCCACACTCAAGATGCAAGCTTTTCCAGTAGTATTTCTGCAGCTCTCTATGAATTGAGATCTGCTAAAGTGAAGGAGACGACAAAACTGTTTTGAGACGGTGCACTACAAAGTGGAGATGAGGGGTCACATAGCTAAATGTTGGTCCATATTGGAAAAATCCACAATGCACATAGAAAATTAGACTTGCCTTCTCCCTGATATGCTAGCTTCCCATACATAGCGTCTTCCTCTTGCCCCATGAGAAGCACTCAGTGATGTTATCCCCATCTGCAATATTAAGTGGTACAGTTTTCGTATCACCGCTCCACTTGCTCTTTGTAGGAGCTAGAACTGAATGCAGCAAAGATTCTGAAAAAGCAACCTTAACGAAGATCAGGCTTACGTTCACGGAAGGTGAGGGAGATGGGCCACAGAATCATTTCTCAGAGTGATCAGTGTGCTGCAGACTTCGACTTCTACTGCTCTAACACCTTTGAAGATCATTTTCAGTAAAGAAAGAATTGTTGGGCACCTCTGTTGCACTGAATCACACTGAATATTGCACACGCTTCCTTATTATTTGGGCTGGACACCCAAAGCACATTTTCCATTGTGTAGACACGGCCTTTCTCTTCCCTTTGTTTACAAATCAAACAGACAAGATAGACAAGGAGAATAATAAAAGACACACAAAGAGGGAAGGTGACTTACCCAAAGTCAAACAGGCCGTTGGCAATGTTGGAAACAAACTAGGGCAAAGGCAGCCAACGTGGTGACTGTGGGCGCACATGTGCCCCCAGAGCCTTCCCTGGAGCCCACAGTGTCTCCTCCTCCCACTGAAGTTAGTCTTGAAATTAACTGTTGGAACCAAAAGAATAGATGGCTTTGTGTGCTTGGTTGATGTGTGGTGTGGTGCCTAGGAGAATTTCTCCAGGTTGGCAATGCACCTACAGACCCAAAAAAGGTTGGCAACCCCTGGACTCCCTGCTGAGGGCTTGAAGGACCCCGCCCTTGACTCTTTCCACCTGGCTTGGGGTGGGGCTTGACAGGCTTCACAAGGACTGCACCTGTGCCTTAGCACCGAGAGCTCCTCTTTTAAACTGTTTTTAATTTTTATCTGTGTTGTTTTAAATGAGAACGTATTGGCTGTGAGCCCTGGAAGACCTGCACCCTACCTTATTGGCCCTTTCCCATCTGGCCTGGGAGAGTGGAGTGCGGACTGACTCCAGCTACAAAAGCTGAGGCTGTTGAACAAATTCCTGGGCTGGAGCATTGTTTGCGGGGGGTTGAGAGAGCTATTGCCATTATTAATATTATTGTTGGTATCTTTAGTTTTAGATCTTATGATTTGTGTAGAAATTGTTTCCATTGGGTTGTGTATTTTTGATGTGTTTTATTGTTTATGACTTCTGTTATGTTTGTAATTATGTAGATCTTGTCATGTTGTAAGCCGCCTTAATCATAGTTTCAACTATGGAAAGACGGCATACAAATAAAATGATGATAATGTTGATGTTGATGATGGACTAGGACAGTTCATATTAAGAGCAGGGCACAATGGTTTTCAGTCCGAGGGTGATTAACTCTTGGTACATGGAGGTGGAATTCTCCATCAGTTGCACAAGGTGACAATAGTTTTCTCTTCACCATAGTCCTCACTCCAGTGAAATCTCATTCAGTGTACTTGGTTTTCTTTATTTTATGTATTTAAGGAACATATACTTCAATAATACACAAGAATAATGAAAGCCAATTAAAATTAAAAACACACACAATACAAATGTGGGTAATTTTGTTCACAGTCCCTGGGAAAAACCATAATTATTTTATTTATAAATATCAGGATATTTTCCTTGATGTATTACAACAGTCTCACTTAAAACTGCAAAGTTACTAATTCCTATTTTTCAGCAATAGCTATGGACTAAATTTGACTGTACCATAAATCCTTATTTGATCCCTCTAAATATTTTCTTGCAATAACCATCCTGACAGCAAATAGTAATTAGAGAATCTATTCTTTATTCAAACCATCTGCATTTGGCCCCATCTCATATCTCCAGTAATGCTAACAAAGGGGTTGGTATCAATTCTTGCTTTGTTATTAGATTAACTGCTAGGAACACCATCTCTCCCAAAACTGCCAATTGGTGACACTCCCACCATACATGTAAATATGTGCCTTTATGTTATCAAACTTGATTTTCTGATTGTGTTTTAGGATGTTGACGCATCCTACATGAACAAGGTGGAGTTGGAGGCCAGGGTGGATGGAATGACTGATGAGATAAACTTCCTGAGGGCACTCTATGAAAATGTAAGTAAACTTCTCTATGCTCTTTCCACCATTTAGGATATCCTTTTCCAATCTGGTGCCCTCCAGATGTTGTTGGATTCCAACTCACATCAGCCTCCCAGCTAGCATGGCCAATGGTCAGGGGTGACAGGAATTGTAGATCAAAATAGCTGGAGGGCACTAGGATGGTGAAGGTCTCTGCAGTTCTCCAGAGTTTCACACGGTAGCCTTTCCTAGCCCTACCTGGAGATACCATGGATTGAACGCTGGAAGCTTCTGCAGATGAACCAGGTGCCGCCTTCCCAAATTGAGCTCTTAAAATGGGAGGGAATATTTTTGCTCAGATCCTGACTTAAATATTCTAACATTCGTTAGGAAAAAGAAAAGAACATGGTTATGTTTGCATGCGTCCTTTCAAGGAACAACAAAAAAGTATTGTTAAGTAATGTATTGTAGCGAAGAAGACAATTGGCCCTTGCTTAGCATATCCGGTTGGTTTCCTCACATGTTTCTCATCTGCAGCAGATGAAAGTCAAAAGGAGTTTGCAGGTCTTGTTGGTTTAATGACTCAATATTGATATTCTTGTGGCAGGATGAACTCAGTATAGGCCACGTTGCAGGAATGGGGGGAGATAATACCTTTGAGCCTGTACCAGTTGATAATTGAAACTGGTGTCTGGGCTTCAGTGGGATATTTGTCTCCATTATTCTCTGTGCATGCTAAGCCACATAACCAATAAAGATGCAATAATGGTTTATCTGGATATTATGTCCACCATTTTGCAGCGACTTTAAAATGCTGCGTGCAAGCAGCTATGTTAACCTTGTGGTGAACTGAATAGATGAATCAGTCAGTTATCACCACAGGCACCCCAAAAGGGAAGTTAAAGTTGGTGTGCTGAAATTGGCTCATTTTGAGTTATAATTTGAACAAGAGGGTGTTCATGGTGTTGTTGGACTTCAACTCCCATCAACCTCAGTCAGCATGGTTAATGGTCAGGGATGATGGGAGCTGTAGTCCAGCAACATCTGGAGGATCCACCTGTGCTTTAAGAGTTGGTTCCAGATTCTCCCCCAGGTGGAATCAGGATGACCCTGAAAAATGGTGGGCTCCAAATCTGCTCCTGATATCATTCTGTGTCAATGGAACCTGGGTGAAATTGGCACACACTTTCACATGGCCATTAATTCTGGCAAAAGTGGGGAACTATTCAGTGATTTGCAGGGGCAAGGAAAATGTAGCAGCGGAGTGCCCTTCCTCCCTTTCAATACTGCCACTAAGAAATACCCTTAAGACTTTAAATGCAAATTGAAAATAAGCCAAGGGAGATGAAAATGATAGAGGATGGGATTCCCTTAAGACGTCCTGTCAGCAGAAGCCTTGTGTAAGGTCTTCTGCTTGCACAACAAGGCTTCCCCCCTCCCACTGCATGCCTGCTGAAATTGCCTGGGGTGTGTGTGTGTGTCTCCCTCTACCCGCCAGACTTTAATTTTGTTACTCATAAACCCTAATGGTTCCTGATCTGAAGGAAAGGCAGGATGTTAAGAAGGATAACAGACAATGAATGCACATCTCTTTAATTTTCCAGGAACTGCGTGAGCTGCAGAACCAGATCTCAGATACTTCTGTGGTGCTTCAGATGGACAACAACCGAAACCTGGACTTGGACAGCATCATCGCTGAAGTCAAAGCTCAGTATGAGGAGATTGCCAATAAGAGCAGGATTGAGGCAGAAAGTTGGTATCAAAGCAAGGTGAGCCATGGTGGCAAAGATGAACTCATAAGGAAACAACTGTTTGGGGATATGAATAATATCCTCCCATAATGAGTTGGCTACCAATTACAGTCTTGACTGATGAGAAGTCAATGTCATTTCATATTTGCTGCATTCCCTGATTTGATCTTGAAAGGAGACACCCCCCCACACAATGATCACACCTACCTTTTAAAGCCTCCAGGACTTCTATAATGGAAGTGCATAGTTCCAGGCTCTCTGATCTGCCCATTGTGATGTCATAATTTCCACCTTAACCAATTGTTCCTCATCCTCCTCTGCATTGTTTATTGTGTGATGCCTGTTGGCTAATGCATTCAGGATGCTTCACACAAATAATCAAAGAGACAGATGAACTGATCATTGTAACAGTGAAAGGGTAACCTCATTTTTGTAATCTCTGTACTCATTTTCCTCTTTCCACAAACACATTAACTCTTCCTGAGTGCATACAATGGGTTGCATTCACTGCAGTAATAAGCAAAAAATTTCCATCAGTGCAAATTTCCCCTTGTGCAACAGAATGCTCTCTCCCTCTCCTCCCCCTGTGCCCACCCCCTAGACTTGGCAATGGTGCCGGGAGAAATCCTCTTGCACTAGCACATTATTTAGTTAAATGCCACCGTATAGGTACCATGTGTCTTTGGCACTGGCCCTGTCACCAGAAAGAAGAGCCTGTGGTGAGGAGGGGAGACTGTTTTGCTGCAACAAATCCCACCTGCACCTTCAACAGCATCTCTCCTCTCTGTTAATCTCAGTATGAAGCCCTGCAAGCCAGTGCTGGGAAGCATGGCGATGACCTGCGGAACACAAAGAATGAGATTGCTGAGATTAACCGCACAATCCTGAGAATGCAGGCTGAGATTGAGAATGTGAAAAATCAGGTGAGTAGCTGGAAAGAACTCTTTGTGGGGTTTTCCGTGATACAACACACACACACACACATTGACTTAAATGAATTATGGGGATGTTCCTGCATAGGCCAAACAGGCTCTACTCCCCACATCTCTTGTGACTTTGTGCTTCTATAATTGCCAACTTGGTGTGTGTATGTGTGTGTGTGTGTGTGTGTGAGAGAGAGAGAGAGAGAGAGAGAGAGAGAGAGAGTTAGTTAGTTCCCTTTCCTCCACCCCTGGAAGAAACTGATGCCCCCTCAAGAACAGGGGTCAGCAAACTTTTTCAGCAGGAGGCCAGTCCACCGTCCCTCAGACCTTGTGGGGGGCTGGACTATATTTTGAAAAAGAAGAAGAATGAATTCCTATGCCCACAAATAACCCAGAGATGCATTTTAAATAAAAGGACACATTCTACTCATGTAAAAAGATGCTGATTCCTGGACCATCCACAGGCTGGATTTAGAAGGCGATTGGGCCAGATCCAGCCCCCGGGCCTTTGTTTGCCTACCCGTGCTCAAGAACTGTAATTTCAGTTTAAAGTTGTTGGTTTCTCATTAACAGGCATTGCATTGGCCACTATATAAGGTAGCCTTTTGGCCTGATCCTGCAGGTCTCCTATGAATGTTGGCTCCATGACAGTTCTGGCCAGGAACTTTACTACTCTTTCCTTCTGTCTTCTGTCAATCATTGGCGGTTTGCTGAGTGGATGACATGTTGGTTTTTTGTATTTTTTTTTAACGTACGGTAATTGTGTACCCGCAAGGACTAGATATTTCATGATGAATTAACCAGAAAGCTTGCTTGCTCAAAAGCTGGGGAGATAAGCCATTGTGAATCACTCCCCATAGTGTTTGTTTGGCTTTAGGGCAGGGCGGCTCCAGCAAACATCCACACCGAAGCAAACAGTGAGACCCAATTCACCGCCTCTGAATAATGAATGGAAGCCCAGATGCTCAGCAATACGCCCTTCCTCTCCTTTATATTTGCATTGCACGCTTTACATTGCATTATAGGAGAGTCTAGTACTGATAACAGAGCAATGGGAGCGCAAGAAATAAATGAGTCATTGGCAGCAATGCAGTTGGCTAGTCATCATAGTCTCAGTCATCTTTGCCTCCTCCAAGCAGCAATCTGATTGTAAGCAGTTGTTGCAGCATGGACATGCACTCCCCTGTTGCAATATATATTGTTATGAACCAAGTGTTGTAAATAAAATATATGCCCTTTTCCCTTATGGGGTATCCAAGAGCCCATATAGAGTCCTTACATAGGTTCCCTATTGGTAGGAGAAAATAACAGAGGCCAACCAGAGAATATTGAGAAGCAAAGCAGCTAGTAAGCTTGATCTTTATTGATCTGTTGCAACAGGGTACTCCCCTCACACGCAGGAGAGGAAGAGGACCCAGAACAATGGCCTGCAAGGCCTTATAAAGACTTTTGAAATTCCCATCCTCTAGATCAAGACCACCCCCAGAAACATTATGCATACATCACAGAAGGGGTGTAACCTAAGACCACCCCTCAGATACATCCCACCTACATCACAGAAATTTAAATGTTGTTTTTCTCTTCTCCTTGTTTATCTCCTGTCTAGCAGGTTACTTGATTGGATTTCTGGAGAGCCTGGCCATTCTTTTGTAGTGGTAAATAGTTATTTCACTGGGCCAGGTCACAGGCTCACACCTTATATTCAAACACAGATTTAAGACAGGATATTGTGAAGGACCAGACAATGGGGAGGCTTTTTCCATTTTTAACCTTGCAGGAAGAAACATTGGCTCAGTTTAGGAATCAAAATGGTTCCAGGTTGGCTTTCCTGTGTGGATCTATGTATGTGCAGTTATGAACATTACTATATATTTAAGACCATAAAATTCCTATCACATTATTCCCCCCTTTGGGGCGTAGAAGTTTTTCTTAAAAATTTTTGCCCCACAAAATAATAACATCTTATGTGTGTAAATGGATGTGTTTGTATAAATATATCATATAAAAATAACACATGTTGCGTTTTGCTACTAAATTACTTGTGGCATTCTAACACTTTGGGAGAGACCATTTACTCAATAGTGTTCTATGCTTTACCACCTAGCAGGAAGGTAAGGTCCACTAGATGAACTGAAAAAGTGCAGTTGCTTCCCCCCGCCATTTTTGTGGTTCTCAGGTGTCAAGGTAGCTCTTCTGTGGTCTCACACTGACATAGTGCTACAGCAACACATCCTGTCTGTTGAATCCCCTCAGGGCTTTCATTTAACCATGTTGCCTGGCATTCACCATAGCTGGCACAGGTTTGGGCATCTCGTGAGGGAGATGTCTTCGCCTTGGCCTTCAGCTATGGGATTTTATTATAGGCTGTGGTCTTGCACTCATGGAAGTTGCTCACTTGCACTTAAAGGACCAAAAAGCTAATTGCAGCCTGGATACACTTGCCCAATTCAAACTGAGTCCAATTTGAATTTATCTTGCCCCATGATTCTCAAGTCTTCAAACCAATCTGTTAAAAGAAAACCATTCTTAACAAGGGCAGTTGTCCAAATAAGTCAATTTAAGTCTATAAGGGATCATTCCTGCTAAACCAAAGCATATCCACCTTCATGTACCTGGTGTTTTATGGATCCAGAAGCTTGTCCTTGGCAAAATGAGGTTTAACATATTTTAAAATGGATAGGGAAAGTTGGCAGAGTGCCAGGTGGGACAATGAAATGTGGTTATCTAAACATTGGACTACACAATAGTGTGAGCTATTAGAAAGTATAAAATGCATGAGAATTCTCCACTGGTGTGTAAGGAATAAGACATTAAACATAAAAACAGTTACACACAAAAAATTGCCCCCCTTTGTGGAAATCACACTGTCAGACACATCTTCAACATTCCTTCAATAATCACATAATACAAAAAAAAATAATTAAATATCTGTTGCATATCTTGACACAATTGTGATCTTTTACGTATGTATCTTTTGAATCCTGGAGCAGAGGCTTGAGGTTCAAGTGAAAAAATGTCCTTGCAATTCAACTCCTCCCCCCTTTGTCAGCGCCCACTTCCCCTTTGAAAGAAATTGCTGTGGCCACTTTGAGAACTTTGGCGTCGTTGTTGCTGCTGCAGGTAATAGTCTTGTGGTGCGAAGCTTTTCATTGGATCTGTAGTAGCACATCTGTAGAAGTGATATCCTGTAAGGGGCAGGGTTTTGGAGACTTAAAAGACAAGAGTTAGAAAAGAAGGGGCAAAAGCCCCCTCCAAGAAAATCTCCTTGAGTTATTAGCTGCAAATAATAAAATCTTAGCATGTTAAGCATTTTACTCATTTTAATATTATTATCACATTTCCATATAATTACTGTTATTATCTGCTAAGTTTGTTTGCTTTCCTTCATTTAGTTTTTTTCTCCATATTATTAAATAAAAAATTACTCCACGTGTAGAGAAAGAGAACTGTAAAAAAAATACAACAAAGGTTAAAAAATAAAAAAGAAAGCAAAAAATTAGATTACCAGTCAGATGAAAACAGACTTGACACAAAGAGATCAGATTTAGAAAAGAATTATTATTAAATAATACAAAGATATTATCAAAACCACAGATTACTACTGGACTAAAAAATGGGAAAACAATGGGGGAAAAACCTTTAAATTCACCATGTGCTATCTGATAAAAGAACTTCATGAAACTGACTTTCAACATGTGATGAACATGTCCCCAAAGTAAAACACACACACACAAAATGAGCTATGAGGAACCAAAAATAAATAAATGCTAAGGCACACAATAAGTAACCTGAAGTAATCTGTTTTGGCATTCTAACATCCCAAATGAAAATAAAAGTGTTTCTTGATGTGACATCAGCTGTAATGTTAATAGCGGAATACTGGGAAATGAGTTAATACCAATAAAAAAATGAATGGCAATTTAAAGTTGTGCAGGTACCTTGCACTAGCCAAAATGACAGAATTAATAAGAAATGCTCAGGCAAAAGGTAAACAAATACCATTCCACAAACAATGTTTGGTGTGCTTCGATTAATTTCATATATATAAAATGGAAGAACTGATAAAACGAACTTAATAAACGAAAACAGATTATTTGTAACCTAAAAAAAAATGTCAAAGATAGAGGAAAATCAACTAATATAGCAGGGATTCAGACTTGTTTTGCTGAACAGAAAGAAAGTGACTGTTTGGCTTTAAGGAAGAAAGACAAAAGAAATACAAATGCAATTACTTTTTTATAGAGTATTTAATCACTGTTTGCATCCCCTCATTATCATTTGTGCTGTGGGAGAAAAGAAGGGACAAACACTTTGTTAATGGAGGTTCACATATCCTGTTAAAAGGGGAAATTATTTCATGTGAGAAGTCTGCCAGGAAATGCTGTTCCTAAATGCATAGGCATATACACAAACAAACAAAACAAACTGTTAAACCCATTGGGGAGCAAACTACTCAAGAGAGGAACTCACAGTGGGAGTGCTTTGATCTCCCTGCAACCCACGCTCTCCAAACCTCCTCCCCCCTCCCTTTCTCTCTCTCTCTCTCTCTCTCTCTTTTTTAAGCTGATCTAGCCTCTGTGCATGTGCAGAGTTCATGTCTCAGCAAACCTTTTATACCATTGAAATGTTGCATCTTTTGGCTCAATTAGAATAAGGAAGGGAAAGGTAAGGAGTAGATTTTAAAAATAGGGTTAGATTTTAAAACAAAAAGAGAAACTCAGCAATTTAAGTATTCACCAAAGCTAGCAATTTCAGCCCAAGCAAAGGAGTGCTTCCTTTATGTACAGGAAAGGGCTATCATTATTATCATATTATTGGTCATTTTATCTGGTCATTCACGGAACAATCAACCGCTCTCTTATTTATGAGTAAAAATGGCCAGAATCAGAATTCATAGGATTTATTTTTTTTAACATTCTCAGTCATTTCAGCCTTACCATTACAGACAAATTTTACTGCCCTTTATTTACAGGATTGGTCAAGGCTAATTCTACTTGACTATATGAATTTTATGTGCTTAAACTTTTAATAGACTTTTAAGTTGATTTTTGTAAATAATAGACAAAACGATAAACACTGTAATCACTTAAATGCCTGATATCACCAGTTCTGCTTCACATCATGGCTTCACCTCACACCCTTTAAAAAACAAAGAGCAAATCTGGGCTGAATTTCAACACATCAGCCACAAATTGGGAAAGTTGAAAGGGACCTGGGGTCATCTAGTCCAACCCTAAAATACAGGGTTCATAGCAAGATTTGTACTACCAGAAACACACACATACTTATGATCACAAGCCATGCGCCTATCATGTACTAAGGAAGAGGAAAATAAAAGACCCAACTTTACAGAAGTAGCAGATCTTGAAGTAGTTTGAGTGAGAGTTTACTTCCTTAGACTAAAGAGTGAAAGTTCCTAGATAAATTATCTTTAAAGACTGAAGTGAACAATTTTCCTAAGATAGGGAGAGGATCTCTTATAAAGCATAGTTAAAACAGCCATAGATTTGATTTGAAAGGAATACAAAAGTAAACAATTTTTCCTGAACTTGCAGAGGAATTAGTATGCCTAATCTATGCCCCCCCCCCTGCAGTTTTCCTTTAAAGGAAAGCTTACTCGGGAGTAAATTTACCTGGCACAGAATAAGAAGAAGAAGGGAAAAAAACCCTGAAAAAAGACACGAATGAAACAAGGGGGGCGATTTTCTAAGAAAAGAGGTCAGGAAAGTCTTATAGAGACTGATATCAGGAGCCTTACAATAACTCTTCCTGTCCAACCCAAATCCAAAGTTAAAACTGGACTCACATATTTTTCTTAGAAGGAACACCATATCTTTCATAGGGCATATGCTTAATGAAATACACTACACTGCATTTTAGCTTGAGAGAAGCAGTTGGCTCAACTAGGCTTTTGCAGCAGAAACAATTAGGTTTAACTTAGACTGGAACACAGGTGTAGTCACAAACTCAAAAGTTACAACACAAACATCATTTACCATTAGAACTTAAAATCACCCTCCCCACTGAAACTAGAGAAAGGAGGTGGGGGGGTAATCCTCCTTTCAGACACAAAGTAGCACGTATACAGGATTTTACCACTGGGGAGAAAAACTCTCTTTAGAGCCTCTTTAACAAACATTGTGCCACACTTCATTCTCCCATTTTGTCTTGTTTTAAGACTGATAAGGTTCAACACGGCTTCCTTAGATTTAGGAATTTGGAGGGCAGCTTGCATTTTTTTATTTTTTTTATATTTTTATTTTTGAATGGCACATTTAAGATAAGCAGCTGCTGGATGTTACCTAAGTACAATTTTAAAACACAGGAAAAACGTTTCTTAAACACAAATTGAAGGGGACTGTTAGAGTCCAGGCGGGAAGTAAGCACCCAACTGGGCTTCTTTCCCAATCAGGAGTCTGTGGGTTTCAATTTCTTTTGATTGAGGTGCACCATTTTAAGAATTTTAATAGCGCTAGCTTTTACTTTTATACTGCAGTCGGGGTTTTATCCCCACTTTTCAGGAAACACATAATAAATAACCCACAGTACACTCAATTTGGACAACTCCGAGAATTAGTACTGTGACACACCGCCGTTCGTCTGGCCTGACTTACTAGGCTGGTACAGCTGTTGGCCTTTCCTGGCTACTAAGCTAACAGTGCGGTCAGCGATCTCAAACCCCCCCCCCCATGGTCATTTCTCAGCCAGGGAGCCCACAGCAACCTCCTGCCTCTTACAATCTAACCTGAGAGTTCCCTACTGGACGCTTGCGTAGCGCAGTGCCAGATTGGGACTCAGAAATGACAAAGAAGGAAAGGAATCAGGTGCCCTTGCTTTCTCTGCTCACAGGTCATCTCTAACAAAGATCGCCATGGCAGAGGTGCGGCTGCACCTGGGAGTTATAGTTTTCAGTACAGAAGAAAAAGCACGACCTTTTTCTGGGCAAAACTCCGAAGGAATAGGTCGGCATATAGACTGTAGAAGGGAAATAAAAGAAGTCACACACAACTTTTGCCTGGGCATACTCCGAAGGGCTAGGGCTAGTGTTGAGATTGAGGGGACAGAAAGGAGGAGAAGACAATTTTTAGATGAGGAAAGAAGTAGAAAGTTTAGATTTGAAGGAAAAAGGAAGAGTTAAAGAATTTTGGTTGCTGTGGTTTAGAGACCCCAACCCACTCCCCGTGTTTCCTACTTAATACTCACTTCCGCATGCGCTGTTCCTGGTGATCCTGGGATCTCTTGACTGGTTGTTTAAGGCCGGCCTGATCAAGCGTTGCTTCCTCTGGTTAGCCCCGCTGAACCTCCAGTTATTTCCAGACCCTGGGATCGATGGAAGACTGGTTATTCCTCCTGGCAAACTGCCTGGTGCGCGCTGGATAACCAGTCCTTCCTCGCTTCCAGAATCCGGGTAACCAAAAGTCCCTTCGTGGTTGCCATCTGTTGTAAATAAAAAATATATGCCCTTTTCCCTTATGGGGTATCCAAGAGCCCATATAGAGTCCTTACATAGGTTCCCTATTGGTAGGAGAAAATAACAGAGGCCAACCAGAGAATATTGAGAAGCAAAGCAGCTAGTAAGCTTGATCTTTATTGATCTGTTGCAACAGGGTACTCCCTCACACGCAGGAGAGGAGGAGGACCCAGAACAATGGCCTGCAAGGCCTTATAAAGACTTTTGAAATTCCCATCCTCTAGATCAAGACCACCCCCAGAAACATTATGCATACATCACAGAAGGGTGTAACCTAAGACCACCCCTCAGATACATCCCACCTACATCACAGAAATTTAAATGTTGTTTTTCTCTTGTCCTTGTTTTATCTCCTGTCTAGCAGGTTACTTGATTGGATTTTCTGGAGAGCCTGGCCATTCTTTTGTAGTGGTAAAATACTTATTTCCTGGGCCAGGTCACAGGCTCACACCTTATTCAAACACAGATTAAGACAGGATTTGTGAAGGAAGAGACAATGGGGAGGCTTTTCCATTTTTTAACCTTGCAGAGAAAGGATTTGGTCACAGTTTAGGAATCAAAATGGTTCCAGGTTGGCTTTCCTGTGCTGATCTATGTATGTGCAGTTATGAACATTACTATATATTTAAGACCATAAAATTCCTATCACATCTTGTTCTTGCAATGTATTTGTTTTGGTAAAAGGATATAAATTACTATACAGTGGTGCCTCGCAAGACGAAATTAATTCGTTCCGCAAGTTTTTTTCTTCTTGCGAGTTTTTCGTCTTGCGAAGCACGGTTTCCCATAGGAATGCATTGAAAATCAATTAATGCTATGGAAACTGACTTCAGACCAGGTCCGGGGACAGTCTGTCCCCCGACCTCTTCTGAAGGCTGGGGGGGGGCAAGGGCTTTTCTTCCCACCCCCCAGCATTTTAAAAAACCCCAGGACAGCGGAGGGCTTCTCCGCTGTCCGGGGCGATCTTGAAATGCTGGTGGGCGGCATTTTAAGATCGCCCCGAGACAGCGGAGGACTTATCCGTTGTCCGGGGCAATTTAAAAGCCCCTGGGAAGGCAGGCAGGGGGGACAAAGACTTTTGCCCCCCGCCAGCCTTCAGAAGAGGTCCAGGACCTCTCCGCGCCCCCCCCGCCAGGCTTCGGAGCAGCCTTCCGAAGCCGGGCGGCGGGAGGAGGTGTCCCCCCCGGCCCGGCTTCGGAGCATCCTTCCGAAGCCGGGCGGCGGGAGGAGGTGTCCCCGCCCCGCCGCCAGCCTTCGGAGGAGGTCCGAGGACAGTGGGGAAGACGCGCTGCGCTTCCCCGCTGTCCCGGAGATTTCCCTATGGGCTTTCATCTTGCGAAGGAAGCCCATAGGGAAATTCGTTTTGCGAAGCGCCTCCAAAACGGAAAACCCTTTCGTCTAGCGGGTTTTCCGTCTTGCGAGGCGTTCGTCTTGCGGGGCACCACTGTATATGTTAACACTGTATGTGTATATATATCTGGCCAGGACGTTCCTACTTATATCTCTAAAACCTAAGGACGCATTTTAGACAAAATTTAGTTTTTCTTGGTGCATATTTACAACTGGAAAGGCGGACACCAACCTGAACGGGCAGATTAACCTCATCCATAGATCTGACTATTCCTAATAGTGACGACTATAAGCTGCTACTGAATACCAGGTACCAGAGAATAGCTGGTTACGTTGAGAGACTGGTCAAAGGTCACAGTAAGTTTTATGGCTGATTGGTGATTTTAACGCAGGTCCTAGTCCATGTAATATACCCGAACTTTATTCAGCGTTCTGGGGGCAAAGATGTAGAAATGAATACACTGTGAGCCAAGGGCATAATCTTTTCTCATAGGTCTGGAAAGTTATGGAATCCCTTGGCCACACACCTTGGACTTCTTATCCGCCCCACCAAGTCTAGTGGACACCAGCCACCCATGAAAGAAGCCTTTTGCTCTCAATAGTGGAGAAATAGACCAGTAAGTATGTGGAAAATAGGATGGTAGGCTAAATAGACCTTTGGTCTGGTGCAGCAGGGCTCCTTTTAAATTGTTATTCTACTTATATCTGAGGAATTGTATTTTCAGGCAGCTAAAGGGGTAATCTAGGCCGCAGTGTCCACATCTATCGGGCGGGGGGGGGACACTTAGTATAGTGGTACCTCAGGTTACATATGCTTCAGGTTACATACGCTTCAGGTTACAGACTCCGCTAACCCAGAAATATTACCTCGGGTTAAGAACTTTGCTTCAGGATGAGAATAGAAATTATGCAGCGGCAGCAGGAGGCCCCATTAGCTAAAGTGGTGCTTCAGGTTAAGAACAGTTTCAGGTTAAGAACAGACCTCCAGAACGAATTAAATTCTTAACCTGAGGTACCATTGTATATATAACTTAACAGGTACGTCCAGCAAATTAGAATTTAAAAGGTTGAGGAAAGCTGCGAGACATTAATTCTGCAGTGCATGAAAGTGAATGGGGTGGTGCTAAGTAGGTTGCCTATTCCTCAAGGCCTGTATACAGTGCAGGGGCCACCTGTTTGAAGGATGATTGCTTGATTCCATTTTGAAGCTCTAAAAGATGTTGCTCTGTGCAGATACAGGACCTATATACGTGAATGCAAAAAGACCACAAAGAAGAAACATGACTTTTATTTTAGAGAAAAACATTCCAACTGCCTTGTGAAGAGTTTTCTTGGGAAAACCATCTACCAAAAAACCCAGCATATTAGCTTTATATCTGAAACGTACACACTTGCATTTTAAGAAACATCTGTTCAAATTCCAACAAACAATATACAGCTTTGCCCTTCTATTTTGAAAATGAACAACTCATTCCTATTTTCAAATAAGCATGCTTAGGATCCTGTCCTTGCAGTTCTGCTGCTGTAATGCTGCCCAACTAAAGGCCTTTTACTATGTAATTGTTTTCCCCACAAAAAAAGGAAGCCAGGACAGATCGTGATGAGTGCTCACTGGAAGGACAGATCGTGAAGCTTAGACTCCAATACTTTGGCCACCTCATGAGAAGAGAAGACTCCCTGTAAAAGACCCTGATGTTGGGAAAGATGGAGGGCACAAGGAGGAGGGGACGACAGAGGACGAGATGGTTGGATAGTGTTCTCGAAGC